TCGATTTGACTAATAAATTCGATCACGAATGTTAATTACTAATCCGGAAAAGTGAAAGTTGATTGGTAAGACTTAAATAATTAATCAGAATTCATAAGCATAGCTTGTTTTAGTATAATTATTTATGCGCGATGATTTGATTTAAGTTACATATTTTGAAATAAACAAGCATTGCTTCTAAAAAAATATATAAAACTAATAAAGGATTGTATTGTATCTAAATGCCTGTTGACATCAACGACAAAAGGAGTGAGTAAATGGGTGCCAAGTCCAAACGCCAGTCCCAAAATTTATTTAAAATAACATAAAATATATATATATATATATTTTATAACTTAGGATAATATAGCGTAGCCCATATTCTGACCTGACTTTTGAGCTTCCTACATCGTCTGAAAATGGGATATAATCATTTTGTACAGCATTAATTTTGACGTTAACAACTAAACCGTTTTAGATGTGTTCCTAAAATGTCGAATTCATTAGTATCTCGCAAATCTTAATGTATAAGACCCAAAAATGGCCCAAATGCTTCGCATAAGTGCACTTATGCTAGTATCTTAGTCAGTTTAGCTGCTGCGTGTCTAGGTGTTTATAATTTTATCAATTATCATTAACATTTATAATTTATCTGAAAAAAATTGATTGATTGGTATTAATGCCTTCATCTAGAAATCTGTATATTAAATGGATGGTAGGAATCGAAACTCTAAAGAGATTTATATCTCTCTCTGTGGATAAAAAGTATAAGATAAAAAGCCGCCATTATAACCGCGTTTCGGTTTAGCCTAGTATTCCTGAATATCCAGAACCAAAAAAGGTCGACAACACAACTTATTGAGATGTTATATTACATATTTCACCTATCAAATGAAGCATGCTTGTTTGTCATAAAAAATGAGCTTGTATAAATAATTAACCCATATTCTCTTTTTATCCATCGGTCAAAGAACCACAGATGCGTAAACGCGACGACTAACATTGTTTTCGGCGCACGATTATTTTTATCTAGTAATCAAACGTGCTTAAACATCTGTTATATATTTGCTTACGTAAATGTGTACTGTATACATTGTATTATATATTTAAGCGTAAATAGATAAGCTATAATTCAATTAACAGCATCTATATGGCTTCTCAGACTGTGAAGGCAGTAGTCGTCGGGTCGCTTTGGATCATACACGAATATGGCACAAGGTAAGTGATAATGTATCTAATTGTAATAATAAAACATCGGCGACAATTGCGATTAGATTGTGGTACATGCAAATATTGTATCGCGTTTGAGTTTTTGTATTTATTTAGGGTGACTCGTAACATTTTTTGTTTCCAATTGTTTTCTAATATTGAATACTAGCTGTGTCAGCGACTTCGTCCGGGTTGAATAGTTATTTGGGCATCTAACTTTGTTTCGCAAACCACCTCTTCATCTTTATAAATTTAAGATGTTACGGCATCGCTCGCGATCCATCGCGGACATCTTTTAGATTATTTAAAGAGGAATCATTCTTATCACATTTTCTTCTGAAACATGGCACCTCGTCTGGAAATGTCGACATTAAATGGGTGGTAGGAACATCGAAATTACGTCACAGACCGCCGTCGGCAGATGAAAAAGCCGTTAAATTTAATCGTGGTTTGGTTTCGGTCTGTAGAGTTCCCAGTCACTATCTGTTGACAGCTAATCTTGTTGAAATATCAAAGTTAAAAACGATTATAAATTAAAAAATAAACAATACGACACAGACAGGACTCGAACCGGCTTCCACATGGTTTCGTGCTGTTGCTATAACCAAATGCTATAATTAATTTTTTAATAGTGATTAGTATGTGAAAATATTAAAGTTTTCAAACAGACAAACAGATCTTATTCTATCGCGTATACGCGGCGCGTTACATATGTAAGGTGTTGCCAGACAATTTCCACGGCCTTTACAGTAACGCATGACTGTATATCGTATGACGACATACAGATAATTTTTACGACACATTACAATGCCACTAGGAAATTACACATGCCCGCACGCGTTTCCATTTTCACGGCTGAATGAAAACCGCGAGATAATACGTCGCGAAGGCTAGCTCGCATCCAAGCAGATCTATTTTATGTACCCGTATCGCTATTTACAGTGACAACAGTTGAGCTGCGTCACGACATATATCAATGTAGTCTTTGTCGTGAAATGGTAGCAATGTACGGCTAATAATCAACGGGTAGATTCTATTGTTCCAATCAATTAAAAAAAAATATATGAACCTTGAAGTTTTAGTCCACAGATAAAGGTGAAGTTTAATCGCGTTCCCCACCAATCCCCCAGAATATTAAAAAAATTATAATTTCTCTGAAACATGTTGGCTTCTGGAAATCAAGGTAATAAATGGGCTCTAAAAATATTGAAATTTTGGCCAAGTCGCTAACCTTTCTGCACAGATAAAAAATGCTTAAAACTTTAATCGCGTTTCAGTTTTAATTTGTAGATTTCCAAATTTCCTAAACTCAAATATGAAGGTCGACAGGGCATCTTGTTTAGATATTATAAGACTGGTGTAAAAGACGGACGCTAAAAGTGTTGATACATTTCCAGAGCGGTCTTAGTGTTTCATATTGGCAGCACGAAGCGTTATTTTTAATTAACGAGAAGTTATTGTTAATAAAAGAGCAAGCGACGCCATGGGCCTAAACGAGTATCATCATAGTTAATCATTTAATAGATAAACAGAGTAAGATTTCGCTAGTAAGAAAAGCATGTTTTTAATTACACTCACATTCCCTTTGATCCCAATATTGACAGAGATATAGGCGCTGACTCTCTTTGTGTCATTGTATTTTCTGTAAATTAAACAGGGCGAGAATATAACGCACAATTTTCCTCGATGTTTTTATCTAAGCAGATATTATTTCACACTTCTTATTTCACGAAATTCGAGTCGCTTCTCCTTCTCGAGTGTTTTCAAGTATATCTAATCACTAGCTGTGTCAGCGACTTCTTCCGCGTAGAATACTTATATTGCGCACCCAAATTTGTCCACATTTCCTGCTGTTTCTGCGCTTGTAGTATTAGTCGCAGGGCGATGTGTCATAGCCTTCCTCGATAAACGGTCTAGCACAAAAATATTTTTTCGATTCGAACCTGTAGTTCCTGAGATTCAAACAAACAAACAGATTAAATATTGGTTTAAACACGTCCCCTTGCCACTTTAGTAGACGAAGATTAAGAAAAATGAAGTGGGATTGCCTAATGCGATTTAGTTTTTTATGAATGTGGGTAAATAAATTATATTCTATTTAATTTCCTGCGCCCTTCAGTCCACAAGACACATTAAATTAAATATATGCGTATGATTCCGCGTTTGTTATCAAAAGTTATCTCTTCCTACTACGAATAATAAAAAATGACAATCGTTGGTACATTTAAACAATTCTTTGGAATTTATTAATTTCAGCTTTATTATTTATAATATATACCACATAAACTACAAAAGATATAAAAGTTACGTACTAACTTATAAATAAACGGCGGTCTTATCGCTAAGCACCTATCTCTTCCAGGCAACCTGAAGTACAGGAGAAAAGAAATAAAAAAGGGCTTATTGAGGTGTAAGCAAAAAGCAAAAGTACTTTTTTATGTATTGTGGGCGACATAGAAATAGTGACGGAATACAAAAAAGTAATCGTATAGTTCTGCATACCTTAATCTAATATAGTTTTGAGGTTTCACCAATCGGTAAACCTTACTTTGCGGCATCTTATAGGCTTATAGTGAACACAGATGCTTGTGTGAAAAAAATACTGCTCGGGTTGCCTGGAAGAGATCGCTTACTGCGATAAAACCGGCCGGTGCTCTCTATAGTTGTAAAATAAATAGATATTCTTTTGTTGTACAAGTAGTCAGACGTTATATTAAAATGATTTATTAGACAAGGCAACGAGAGATGGCGCTGTTGTTAATTTAAAATTTAATAGTGTATCTCAGAAAAACGTAGATGAAACAGAACCGTAACTAAAATTTTTAATTTGAAATTTGTTAAAAGCAATTGTTGTTTGTATCCTCAACGCACAAAATCCTACATCAACGCGTACGCAGGCGAATTCGTTCGTAACTGCTAGTTTTAAATAAGTAAACCGTTTATAACGACGAAATACTAAACATGAAATATAAACCTGATTAGGTAAATTATTCGATGACGTTAAAACCTGTTGTACAACGTTTAATAATGCTCGTACAGACAGAATGTAGCGAACAAAAACATGGAATGAGTGGGCATATCACATAATAAAACGGACGCATAAGTGTGTCTGACTCGGGCAGGAGTTGAACCGGCATCGTCAGCGTTCAAGCGTTAGAGCAACAGCACGGTGACGACGCCGGTTCAAGCCCTGCCGATTCGAAAATTTGTTCAATTTATTTTCGATTTTTAAATTATATAGAGACAATGTTTTTTAAGTTAACTGGTTTTTCGTCTATTGATTTAGCAAAACGATGCAAAACATTGCGTTTTTCTATAAGACTTTTATATCTATTATTATTAGGGTAACAATTTTGTGTTTTTAATATTTGTGTGTGAAGTGCCTTCCTGAGTCGAGTAAAAATGGCGCTTCTTATAACCTCTTTCATATTTTTGTATTTTTTATGAATAGCGGCAACAGATAATTCGATTTATGACAATCTTCACTGTACAGTGATCATGGTTCTTGAACAGGCAGGAAAGACAGTACCCTAAAAATCCTTGACCGCCAATATCGCTCACATTGAAATGAGTCAAACAAATTAAAGTAAGACAATGAGGCTGTATTGATAGCAAAGGTAATTAAGTATGTAACGACTGTCATAGATCTCAAAGTGGGACCAATCGCGAGCGCTTCTTGCTATCATTTGTTACGCTTCCAGTGACCTTGTGTGTGCGATTAACGCAGTGTTTTCACGGATGAGGTGATGAGATTCTTCATTCCAAGTCTGGTCTCCACACGGACCTAGTGGTGTACGTGTCACAGTACAAACATGATTCGGCTAAGTTTTATTCTCGTTGTTATTGCTTACTTAGGTAAGGAGTTATTTTCTGATCTTTTTAAATATTATTTTATTAATATTTCTTTTTCATTTGGATATTCTTCAATGTTTAATTTGTTTAAATGAAAAGAAAACTTTGCAAATGCGATAGTGTAAATTTAACATCACTACAATACATTGTCGTGGTTACTACATACTATTATAAATATTTTTTACGTTGAAACATAAATATTATAATACGAATGATGCGCGATGTATGCTATGCCAATACGCAGTTATAATAATTACTAAGAACCATTACAGGTAGATGTAAATTATGACTTGTAATTACGATTTAGCATTTTGTCAATTTCTATTATATTTAGTTAATGTTTTGCATAAGTAGGTTCCTTGTTTATTTATGAAACAAATGACGATCACACGCAGCTGTAGTAAAGACTAGTTAGATGCGAAATAACTTGGATTTGAGTCATAGGGAACGTGCAAAGCTTATATATTCTCATAACAAAAACGGAACTTTTTTTATCGACCTATATGCCAGTTGTAAATACACTAAGAAACACTTTATATGACTAGCTGTGGCAGCGACTTCGTTCGCGTAGAAATTTGAAGCGTGCAATTTTTTTTTGCAAACCTTCTATTCAACTCTAAAAATTTATCCCGTTACCCTCGTCGTCCTCTGCGACCCGTCGTTCTTGCAAGTTAATCTTAAAAGATAGACATATACTATCCCGGACAATATTTACATTATTTAAAGACAAATCATTCTTTGATACTTATACGCAACGGAAACTCACATTTCTTCTCTCCTATTAGTTACAACGCGATGTATTATAGCCTATAATATTCTTATATAACCTATCTCGATAATTGTTCTAATCAACGCAAAAATACTTTTTCAATTCGAACCAGTACTTCCCGAGTTTAGCTCGTTCAAACATACGAACTCTTCAGCTTTATATATTAGTACAGATTTGAGTCATGGGGACACGTGCATAGCTACATAACAAAACCGGTACTTTTCTTGTATCATTATATTTGCCAATTGTAAATAAACTAAGAAACAGCTCATTAATGATTTTTAAGAGTCACTCATATCAAACTTATACCCAGTTGCCTGATGTTTAGATACGATTAGCTAAGTTAAAACATAGGTATTCAAAAACGCAAAGAAAACATTGTGCTGACCGCTACATGCCGTCCTTAATATTGAACTTCTCATGACCTACAGCAGACACGCTTTAGCACATTTCCGAAACCGGTCAAACAACGTGTTCCAAATTTTAAAGACCATTAGAAACTTAACGAAGTGTGCTTTTTATCACCATTAATTGAGGTTTTATGATGGAAGAGTAAGAGAAGCACGGAGTTCACTTGATGGAAGGTGAATCACCCCATATAATATCTAACAACACGCCCTCTTAACCTATTTTAGCTTTAGACCGAAATCAACTTTGTCGGATTCTTCATCAGAGGGACGGAATTTCTATATTTAATATAAAGATTTCCAAACAACAAAAGTTAAAAATTTTAGAAAAACATGAAACACGACCTGTTGACTATGGATATATTGTTACTATTAGATCAACCGTTAAATATAGCTTATTGTCCTTTTCTACTAGTTATGGATTTTTATTTGGAAAGAAAACGGCCTGATAAAATCTATTTTGATTTTCAAAATATTTAAATAAAACACTAACGGGTTAAAACGCGAAATATATAATAAACCAATTTTAACTACGGCTTGTCAACGTTCGACAATGCTTTGCAGCAGTCGTGGTCACGGGGAGACTAAAAATGAAGGGTGTCTCTAATTCCAAAGTAAAGAACTGCGCTATCTGTTCCGTCCTGCAAAATTACGAAACATCGGGCCGTTGTTAAAATAATTATCAAATAAGTTAAAACTAATATATTTCGCGTTTTAAACCGTTAGCGTTTTATTTAAATGTGTACTTTTGCGTAAACTACAGACAGTTTTACAAAGTGTTTTTTTGGAATTGGTGTTTGCAAATAATAAATTTTTCTAGTGTATACATTGGTGTCTATATGAGCCTATACATATATTTGCTCCATACTTTTCACCCCATAACCACGCACCCCTTCCACATGCGCATTCATTGCGTATGTCATACATTGTGAATATGGTTTTTTTAATCAGAACATTGCCGCTGGGGAGACGGCGAAAAATTGAGGGGAAAAATTCGCGTGATCTTTGTAACAAATTGCTTTGCGTTAAGCCCGTGAATGGTTACAATACAAAAAGTATACTTATATAGACATACTAGTTGCGCCAGCGACTTCTTCCGCGTAGAATAATTATTTTGGGCATCGTATTGTTTTTTTGCAACCTTAGCTTTCTAAATTAATTGCTGTGCCAGCGACTTCGTCTGCGTAGAATAGTTAATTTTGCGGTGGCAAAATTTGTTTTTGCAAACCTCCTTCTCACCTTTATAAAGTATAGCGGTACCCACGACGTCCTTCGCGTCCCGCCACTCTTGCAAATTATTCATAAAAAATAGACATTTATATCACGGACATTTCTTTATATCATTAAAAGAAGATCATTCTTTCATACATATTTTATTTTGTTTCTTTAACCGTTTTCGCAGTGCGAGCAGCGGAAGCCCTCGAAATATTTTTCGCTTCCGCTTTCTTAATAAATGCTCTAAACAACCCAAAATATTTTATTATATATATATTTTTTAATTCGAATAAGTAGTTCCTGAGATTGACGCGGTCAAACAAAAAACTCTTCAGGTTTATAATATAGACTATATAGATTGTGTTAAAAAATGTAGCTTATTAACCCAGAACTTTTATTCAGGTTGATTAATTTAACAACAAAAAAAATACAGGTTGCATTCTGGTATGTGTGAACACATTTAACACAAACATTACGTTATTTGATATTTAGGAATGTTTAGCATAAATTAATTAGTACAAACGTTCTAAAATTTGGATTGTATTCATTATTTTCCTATCGTAATAGGGTAGCTTGTATTTTCTTTTCTCGGGTCATGTGGTCTGTCCAGTTTAACATTTTTCGCTAAACACAAAAAAAAAGCACATCGACGCTAAGAAAGATTTGACTCAAAAAAATTAAGTGCAGTACACCCCAAGAACATAAGAACAGAATGACAGAAATATTTAACGCAATACACGAAATACTTTTAACGGTTTAGGACGCGAAATATATTAGTTATTACTACTTATGATTAGCGTATATTCCTTCTGCAACGCCTGGAAAGTGTAAAGCGGCGAAGACCTTTCTAGTTTTATGACCTATTAGGATTAGCATTAGGATATAATTTCTATTAAATGAAAAAGCGAAAATAAACAATCCAAAAATTAATCTGAACATTTTGTTCCCCTCCCCGTGACCACGGCTGCTGCTAAGCATCCGAAACGTCGGGCCGTAGTTAAAAACAAGTTTGACTGAAATATATCGCGTTGTAAATCATTAAAGTGTTTTATTTAAACGATATTATTTACATAATAAGGGTTTAAAAAAAAAAGAAAACAAAGGAACGTATAATATATATTTATTTCTTTCTTAAAATATGTATGGTATGGTCTAATTGGGTATAGGTTCTCTATAAATGTTTTTATGTAACTGCGCATGCGACGAAGTGTTTTGATAGCTCTTTCGACACTGCTATACTAAATTTTAGTAAGGATCTCCAATCTTTTTTTGAAATAAATATAGATATCAACATACGTGGCACTGATAAGAAGACCGCACTTGTTTTCTTGTGCTGTAAAAAAATGCAATTGGTGCATTTGTTTCTAGGTGCAAAGCAGAATATCTAAAGGTTATATACTTGCATGTGAGCGATCACGTATCGTTCGTAAAAATTTAGCAAAAAATGATTGCATTGCTAAGTGTGTACTGAAAAATTAATTTGAGTGTCTAGCACGAGTGTCTGTTGTAATCAAACATAATTATTCAACTACAGATTGGGACAATAGATATAAACCTGTTAAGCGCCTTGCAAGCGGAAATGAAAGGCTTCACACGCAGTTGTAATAGAAATTCAATATCCTGTCGGAATTTGAATCGATCAAAGAATGACATTGTATTCTAATTATTACTTGTAATAATTAGGTTCCACAATCATTTAGATTAATTATAGTTTTTAATGACAACAGCTTTTTGACGGCAACATACTGCCATGGTTGTCAAATATATACAAACAAAACAAAGATAAAAATTAAAAGTACAACTAAGAATGAAAAACTTACTCACTAAGGTTTTAAAACTAAATTGAGGATGGGAAAAAGACATATTGAATTGACAGCTGATGGTCAATAAATATTGTGTAAGAGACGCACATGGTCAGGAGTGTAGGAAGACCAATGAGACAGTGGTGACTTAGTAGAAATTTGGGGCTGGCTGAACACAGCAGCCAATCGTACAACATGGAAGAAGAAAGAAGAGGCCTTTACCCAGGAAGAAGATAAAAAAAAAATACTACTAAGGATAACACTAACATAAAAGTTTAAACATATTTTTCTATATGTTCTGCAACTTTTCAAACACAAATGTATTAAATAAAAAGGGTAACGTACCGTACTACAAACAGGTGTGGCAGTATTGATGCGATGACGTGGGAATCTCTTTCCGGTTCCATTTAAGAAGAAGCTGGGCTCAGGGATATTTCCGACGTCACTTTATGCAAAGAAAGACGGATATAGGGCGTTTGTTACGGTGTGTCGCTCTACATTTACGAGTACAGCCAGCTTATCAAGTTCTCTACAACATTCTGTCTTTGATTTCCACATAGTGGAGAATTTGATGATGATGATCAGCAGGCTGAAGTGGCAGTTGAATGATTATATCGCTCGTAGAACTAACAGCTGTTCAGTCAGGTATCTAGAAGATCTCAGGTGGACAGACGACGGAAAACGCTGGATTCAAATACCGAACGACCGGTCGATCTAGAAGTCTTAGGAGATCTATGTCCAGCAGTGGACACCGAACGGCTGACACGAGACATGAGCACATTAATATTGTCTATAGTTTACTCGAGTAGTACGCATTAGAATAAAACACATTTTATAGTTTAAATAAACTTATTTTTGGGTTCAGGGCCCGACGTTCTGAATAAGTTTCGAGATGTCCAAGAGTGTTTTTTTAAATATAAACTGGAAAATGGAAAAGCTATAGATTAAATAAGCTTTTTTATTGGAATATTATTACTTTCGGCTTGTTGTACAAATTGTTGTGTTCATCCCGGTCCGAAATTCTAAATCGTAACAAATTTTCTAGGCCTGCCTAATAGTAATTTACGAAACGGGTTGTATCATTCAAATTGTTTTTTCTTATAATGATCACAATAATTGTTAAGCGACATTGTGACCCTGACTGTAATCATATAATTGCTTTGTAAAAAGGTTTCCTCGTCGTGGTAGATACATACGATCTGTGTGCATTTGTTTTCTTATATAATATTACCTCCTAATTAACGACGCAGCGAGTAAGATTGAATATTAAATTTTGAAGTGTTAATTGTAGATTATGAACAAATCTTATTTATGATAGAGGCGGACGCAACCCAACCAAAATTTTAACAAGATGCGCTGTCGGCCTATTTTAACTTTGGATATTTATAATTCCACATACAGAAACCGAAACGCGATTAAACACAACGGATTTTTTCTGTGGATTCGTGATGGCATTTTGATATTCCTACCCATTTAACACCAAGATTTCTAAACAAAAAATCTGTAAAAAAAAATATAAAAACATATGGTGGGGTTCGAACTCACGACCCGTTGGTTATTAGCCATACATTGCTACCGTTAGACCAAATAGCCCGTCAACATTTTAAATATCCGCCATCTTTGTTTTCATATAAATTATCACACACGATACAATAAGAACGCAGTGACCTACCGAACAAGAAGTATGGCTAAGGTTTTAAAAAACGCTTATCCAAAATTATATTGACCATGGAACGAGTAAATGCTATATTATGCAGGGAATATTAACAGTTGTGGCAGTATAGCGCGCGCTTTTGTGGCGACAAACTAACGAACGAATTGACAAGTCGAGTATAATATTTAAACACTGTAAAATAAAGTGCGGTTATTGTCTTAAAATTGACATGAAGGAACGAATCGGTAAGTTTTGTAATATAAACAATACTGTAGACATAGATTCTCTAAATCTATGTATAATTAACACATTATACATGTTAAAAAAACACTAACGGTTTGAAACGCGGTATATATTACTTATTGGAAAATTATTTTAAATACGGCCCGACGGTCAGTCGCCCCATGACCACGGCTCCTGCAAAGCGTCTGAAACGTCGGGTCGTAGTAATTTTCAAATAAGTTCAACTAATATAATATATCGCCTTTTGAACCTTTAAAGTGTTTTATTTAAATGTGTACTGCTCGCGTAAACTACAGACAGTATTTTATATAATACATGCACGTAAAGAGATGTTTAGAGAAATAATAGTGATGCTTTCAACAAAATAATGTATTTACAAATGTGTTAAAAATTCACAGTTAAACAAATAAAGGAGCCGAAGAAGAATGTTTCATTCTTTCAAATGTTAAACTCAAGGTTGTATGCAAGTGTTTAGTGAGTTTGTTCGAATCACAGTAAATGTGTGAAAGGAGCCACTAAATGTTTTGGCGTTCCTAACTCTTAGATTGAGTAAATGTAGGAATAAAAGTAGATCGATTTTTATGGTAGTAGAGGACAGACAAGTATGTTCAAATGATGGTAAAATAACTTAGCTATATAACTTGACAAGATGCACTGTATTGTGGCTTTGGATTGGAAAAAGCCGGCTCTTTTATCTGTGAACGGTAGTTCGTAGCCCGGACAGAAAATCCATATTCCTACCCATTGGATATCCAGATTTCCAGACGATGTCCAACATTACACAGAGGAATTATAATTTGATTAGAAACATGTTGATTATTAGCCATTACTATCATTATACTAACGAGGTTGATTTCGTTGGATAGAATTAATAAATAGTAATAATTGAAGCAGTAATAATTACAATGTGGCAAAGGACGTCCTTGAAACGGAATTCTTAAATTAGCATTTGTTCTGTTACTGCGATGTTGACATTGTTTGCGCTTGCGATTTTAATTTAAGAAGACTTCCGCGAAAGAGGTTATTTTTAAATAACTTGTTCGATTACGTAGCAACAGTTAAATAACTTAAATGTAGAACAGTTTTGAAAAATATCGTTTCGATACTAGTTGGAGATGTGTAACGATTTTGATTTTGACGACTAAATTGTTTATTGAAAACTTTAATAATATAAAAATAGAAAAAAATAAGAGCCGGGCGTGATTTGTACCGGAATCCACAACGTGCTGCTATACGGTGGCTAAGTTAGTTAGAGCAGCAGCACGGAACGTTGTGGATGCCGGGTCAATCCCGCTCGTGTCGTCAATTCGTTTTATCAATCCAAATTTGTATGTTGGCATATTTGCCGCATAAAATACATTTTGCTGAGTTCTTAGACGTATAGTTATAACAAATAATATATAATACCTACCCAATACATAACGTTTGTGCACTCGCTTATATAACGACTAGCTGATACAGCAAACGGTGTTTTATTATATGCCACATCAATATTATGTTGATTCTCTCTTTGGTTAATCCATTTATTTTTAGTTAATCTAAATGATAAATCATTCTTTTATACATATTTTTTATCGCTTTCACAAGGCACGCAACGGAATGCCACAAATATGAACTAGCTATACATCGTTGTCTAGACTCTAAAGTCTTCTTACAGCGCCTGCTTCTCACAACACTGAAAACCGAACTACATAACTGATTTAAAAGAATGTCCGCGACATATATGTCTTTCATTTAAGATTAACTAACAAGAACCGTTTTAATGTTAATCAAATGTGATCGAAATACTTCATATGGATATCAAAAAGAACTTTTGTCTGGCCAGCTAGTATTTTAATAAAGGATTTATTTTATCGCGATATTAAAGGATAGTGAAATATTGTTTCAGGTACTTGTGAGCAGATAGGTAGACGACGTGCGGTCCCCGTCATATATCTTCGTGGATCTCACTACGACGTCGGTTACGATGTGGTAAGTTTCCTGTTGCGTTCGATTTTCAAATATCCAATTCTACTTTAAAATTAAAAATCGATTATGGTTCGAAAAAAAATACGACTCGGGTAGGACAAACACTCCACTTGCGTGCTGTTGCTCTAACCAATTCAGCTACCTATGATTTTTAATTTATATACTGCCATCATGTGCAATAACATGTGAAAAATATTAAAGTTTTCAAAATTTTACTTGTGACATGATACTTATGTACATAGAATCTGCCAAGTACAAACGACTGTATCTACGGGATATAGTGATTTGAAAAGAACGATTTTTCAAATAAATATGTGTATTTCAATATATTTTAAAATATTATAAAGTGCGTAAATATCTAAATGTAGTTATGGAAGTCATTATTGCTTATATAACTCTGTTTGTAAGCAAAACAAGTAAAACTACACTTAGTTTTTTACAACGAACCTTAATTGAAAACCATTCATTTGTAGCCTAGCGATCGTGAAAAAACTCAGTACTGAGCGCCCGTACAACTTTATCATGTACTTCTTTGAGTTATTAAAATTGATCCTGCCCTAATGTCAAAAAATATTATTGTTACAGGGCCGAACATTTTCATCGGTTATCAAAGATTTCATATCTACCTACGCCAATCTCAGAGACTTCGAGAAAGAGTATAAAACCGACAATGGGAAGCAGGCCTATGATAAAACGTTGGCTAATATGAAAAAGAGGTATCCCTATTACCTGAAGGAAATGCAAGGCGTTGCTGATGGTGCTAAGGTCCCATTCTATCAAGTAAGTAAAGTTTGCAAAATTATAATTTGAATATATTAATAGAATTGATACTTATAATGGGCAAAATTATGTAAACATTTATTTTACAAGTTGACTGCATTTTGTTTAAACCGCGTTTTGTTTTGTTAAGTCCAAAACGGCTTAGGTCATCTATATTGTTTCTAAAGATATTTTCAATGTAATTCAACGCCATCTAGTATTATTTATATAAGTTTTTGAGAATACATCCACTTTTAGAGTTCCGCACCAATCATGCACACAAGAATCTAAATTGTTATCTGAATTTATGTTTAGAAAGACAAAAATTTATCTAACTCTTTCCGATTTAAAATAAAAAAAGTTTACTAACAACACTACCTTCCTACAATTAACTACAACTAACGCCATCTATCGCAAATTCTTAACTTCTTGTAGTCAGTTCTTGTAGTAGGTAGCGCTGGCCTTAATACAGTGCAAAATGTACCCACAAGAAACCGTTTTAATTATTTTATTTATTCATTCAAGCGGCTATGCGGCTGTGCGGCTTTTTCTTTCTTCTGTATATGTTTGTTTTCTTGGACATTTTCTTTTTATATTATTGTATTCATTTTCTATTTTTCTTTAGTTTTATTGAAATTACATAAACAATACCTGCTTTTTCTAGTTCTTCAAAATTCTTTCAAAATTAAGTAATTCACATGAAAAACATTGTACGTGTTGTGTACCCTACAAAATTAATAATTAAAATAACATTGACATATACATTTACACCTCTCACATTTGTTTTTATTATTTTACGCATTTGCTTTCAGTTGTTCCTTTTGCAAATGGACGACATCATTGGTACCATCAACGACAACCATATCCCACGAAACGATACTGGAGGATGCAGCTCCATCGGTATCAACAATTCTGAAGATGTAAGTATGATGAAGGATATACAATCTTCAAAGTCTGCCGCACAACTTTAAGAAGACTTCATCAATTGAGATGAAGCTTGGCTATTATTATTTGTATTTTTAGAGGTTTCCTCCATTTAAATTTATTTTACGGAGCTTATACTTTACTGGGTATTGGACTAACGAATTTATAAGTATGTACCCTTCTGGTTGGTACATAGAATTTATCCTTATTACATATGTATCTGTATCTACATTGTAACGTATAAAACAATTATATCATTAATATATAGATGTGCTACCGTTATAAAATATACCGATTTAAACTTATTGCGAACAGAATCCCGCTAGGTAAGATCAGACATTGCTCGATCTCGTCTTTGCAAAACAAATATAGCTTAGACAAGCGTAAGTTGAGCTTTTGTTGAAAATAAGTATTGTTGTAGGCTGTCCTGGCTCACACTGAAGACGCGTTCAGCGAAACCCTGAACCACTTCTATATTATGTCTGCTCATATCATACCTACGCAGGAAGATAAGGAACTTGGTGTAAGTAAATACAAAAGCTCCTATACTTACGATACATATTTATAACTTTACAATATTGTAAATCATCACGTACTTATATGAAATCCAGTCATTCAGTCGCTTCGCTGTTTGCTTATGCGCGATTGTAAATTCTTAGAGTTTAAGCCGTTTAACGGATAATAGAGTAACGGCCTTAATGTACTTTTTGTTTACTTGATCACAAATGTTTTAAATACTTTATCGTCTCCCCGTGACCACGGCTGCTGCAAAGCATCCGAAACGTCGGGCTGAAGTTAAAAATCATTTTGAAATAAGTTTAACTTAATATATCGCGTTTTAAACCGTTAAAGTGTTTTATTTAAATGTGTACTACTCGCGTAAACTATAGACAGTATATACTTTATCGTGTTCATGATTAGTTATATGATCATTTTGCTTATGGGCATTGTATGTCCTTAGTTATTAACATTATATGGTAACATTCATTCATAGACCATAACCGATCCGCGGGTCACACAACTTAGCCTCTGGACGATTTGTGACCTGAACGTAGTTTGAAATTTGACACATCCTATTTATTATTCAGATATGTAAAGACTGTCTTAATATTTAGTAAGATCAGAACCCAAATCTCTCTGACTCTGTTGAAATTGAACCTACGGCCCTTGTTTAGATAATAATATCTTGCTTTCACTGGACAAATGAGTCAGACAAACGGTCAATGGCTAGTATTGTACTTGCACAAACAGAGTGGGTGACAATCTTGAACTGATTAGATTTTTATTTAAATAATGCGTTTGCTGCTTACATAATTATGGTGAATTCTGTGTCATGTGACGTTTAAATTACAGGCCAGAGAAGAAAGATTCGCTTCGCTCTGCTACGCTGGCCACATGCCCGGTTACACGATGGGCTACAATGCTAACGGGCTAGTTTTCTCAATAAACACACTCAGCCCTATGATTCTAAAAGCTGGAAATACTCGTATGTATATCGAAATTTATTAATTATTACCTCCATTGTAATCTTAAACCGCCGTTGGCTTCAAGTGTACTTTGTGTGCCTTGCAGCGCGTTTCTGTTTTTTTTTTTAAATGAAATCAAATGAAACCAAATTATTTGAGGCGGCTAGAGGCAGAGTAGCCTAACTGCAATTTAAAGATTTGAGTTATTTATATTTTCATAGTCTAAAAATATTAATCAACAAGAGCACAGTGACCGAAAATTGTTAACATAATTCTTACACAAATAATTTTCCTTCTAGTTGAAAATAATATTTTTTGTTATTGGGCCATTCTGCCTATAGTAGCTCATATATTACTAGCTGTGCCAGCGACATTGTCCGCGTGGAAAAGTTATTTTGGACATCATATTGTTTATTTATTAAACAACCAAAACACAGAACCGCAAGAACGTTTCCCTCCTATTTACACAAATAAATAGTTACTGAATACTTTACTTACTACTCGCTTAAGTGTTTTTAAAATATCAAATAAATATATACGCACCGTCTAACAGACGGACAGTATGGTTTTGCTGAAAATCAGTCTTGTCGCATAACTGTGCTGCAACTTATGCTGACACAAAACCCTTTTGGCATCACTTTTATTCGAATTAAATTAAATCTTTTCGTATAAATTATTGTATTGTAATTATATATATAATGGGATTTATGATTATTCATTATCATTGTTTTTACAGCAAGAACATTCATAACTCGCGCTCTTCTATCCGCAAAGAACTTCGAGGACGCGGAAAAAATTCTCACGGATGAAGGACTCGGAGCTGCAAACGGCTGCTCCGTCAACATGATCTGGACTGACGAAAACGGCCAACGAAGCCTCTACAACGTAGAAATGGCGCCAGATCTAACAGCTGATAAATCTTTGTTGAACGTTAAGAAGTTTGAGAATGAAGTAACAATCCACACAAACAAGTGCGTCGTAATTACGAACCTTTTAAAAATAAAAAAAAACGATGTAAATAACCTGAAAATTAAGGTTTACAGAATTGTGTTTATAAACTTCAAAAGTGTAACAAAATGTCTACTATGTTATTTTTGACAGGGGAGAACTAAATACTGTCCATAGTTTACGCGAGTAGTACACATTTAAATAAAACACTTTAACGGTTTAAAACGCGATATATTAGTTAAACTTATTTGAAAATGATTTTTAACTTCGGCCCGACGTTTCGTCTCCCCGTGTCCACGGCTGCTGCAAAGCATCCGAAACGTCGGGCCGAAGTTAAAAATCATTTTCAAATAAGTTTAACTAATATATCGCGTTTTAAACCGTTAAAGTGTTTTATTTAAAGGGGAGAACTAGAGAACTGTACTTAATGGATAAGAAACCTGCAGTACTATTAATTAATTATGATAAATTTAGTAGTTCCGTTTTTGTCTTAGTCACAATCTATAACGATAATGGGAATAAATACTTTACGGGTTAGACCTATGTACAATTGAACAGATTTGTCAGACAGAACTTTTTCGGTAGAAGGTATGGGATTAGGGCTAATCCCCAATCCTCCTCTATCTACCACACGACTCTTTGGTTGACCAAGTCAAATTATTTCAAGTAATTGGTTGAGATTAATCCTTTAAACTTTAAACTTTTAAAATCACAGGTACTTACGGCTTCATCTGAAAGAAGTAGATGGTCCCATTATTGACAGCAGTAACGCTCGTCTTGACGCCATATACAAGCACCCTAAGCCCAAGAACCGAGAAGATCTCCAGAACATCCTGTCAGACACTTCCAGACAGGACTTCCAGGTCTTCCAGGAGAAAGAAGATTCGGAGATCAAAACTATTGCAGCTGGTAATATTTTAAAATGAAGGGTCTTAAGCTATATTTGTTATATGCGTCGTATGTTAAATAATCTGGTGGCAATCAACCCACTATATTTTGATAACAGTTTACTGTAAATACTTTTGAAAGTCAGAATATAGTACAAGCCCACTTCCGTTAAGGGCGAGGGGCCTCGGTACCCAAGTATTTTTTATGACAGTACAAGATCGACGGAAAATGTACCCCGATAGAATGGATGGATGGAATTTAGATATTCGCTCCTATTTCATATCCAAATTTCCAAATGAAGTCCAACATGTTTTAGAAAAATTATACCCTTTGAGGACCGAACCCACGGCTCGTTATAGTCAGGCAGAATATAGATCTGACTTACGTGCCTATGAATAAAATAAATTAGTAATATAGACACAGAAATGCGTCTGGTCCATTGCCCACACCTTTTAAAAACTGACATTAAATTATTACAATAATGAAATCTTTCAGGCATATTCGACTTAGGCGAGAAGACATGGAACATTTACATCAACAAGCCGAACTCATCTGAACCGGTCGCCATTTTACCCATCATGTTTACTAATTTAGGAAAGTAAAACAAAAGATCTGTATAAGTAGTTTCGCTAGCAGAGTGTTTCCAATATATTTATACAATACTTAGTGATATTGACTATTCTGGCTGTAATATTTAGTTAGTAACTAGTTTATTTTGTTGACTAAATAAAAGTTTGGACTATGATACATTTTTTTGCTTTTGTAACGAGGTAATTTAAATAAACAACTTGACCGATTAAAGACTTTAATTTTTATCAAATTGTAACAGAGCTTTCGCTTTGATTAGTCCCACAATTAGAATGCCTAACCCAATGTCGTGCACGCGCTTTCGCGCGCTTTTCCCGATATGTGAATGCACGATCTGTCATCTCGGGAGTGAACTATCTTTGTCACTACAGACTATATCACACCACAGACTGTATCACATCACAGACTATATCACAGTCTACGGCTCGGTTTGTGATTGGCTCTGTTTGCTAACATGATGGTTAGCGGCTGGCATGGCTGGCATAGCTGGCATAGCTGGGCATGGCTGGCATGGCTGGCTTGGCTGGCTTGGCTGGCTTGGCTGGCATGGCTGGCTTGGCTGGCATTGACTCGGCTTGTAGGGCTTAGCACAACATCTTAGGTAACGCGTTACAATCGGCCATCCTGCAACGATTGCTCCCGCAACGGGAACAAATACGTATTTAGCTTTCTAGTAAATCAATCAAATCCTCAGTTTCTACTTGTTCGTCACCACTAGAGTCACTTTCAGATACTGGGGCTATACTTCGATAAGGACGTAATGCGTCAGCAGAAACTAACCCCATAAAACTTTTATACCCACGTACCCCCTTTATACTTCTGATTTTATACCTATCATTACCTAGTACTTTAGTTACAATGTATGGACCTGAATAAATGTCATCTAGTTTGGTATTGACCTTGGCGGCACTACTCGTCGGAGCCTGTTTCCACAAAACCAGATCATTCTTACTATACACACGACTTTTTTTTCTACACTTATCAAAATTACGTTTCATTTTAGAGCTAGCTTTATCCAAACGTTGTTTAGCTTTTCGACGTTTGTCTTGAGTCGACTCAAATACTCGCCCCGGAATTGAAACATCGCATACAGACCTAGCATTTCGGGAAAACATCAGATCAAACGGCTTAAACCCCGTACTATCATTTAAAGTGTTATTGATGCCCCATATCACATCGCAAATGCTATTTGACCAATTGTTCGCCGCTTCGCTTGGATCTGTAGCGCGTAATGCGTTAAGTATAGTTCGATTGGTTCGTTCCACTTGCCCATTTGCCCTAGGGCACGCAATAGTAGTTAGAGTGTGCTTTACTTGTTTTTCTGTGACAAATTTTTTAAAGTACCTGCTAGTGAACGCTTTACCATGATCCGAGACTATTCTATCGGGGTAACCAAACAAACTAAAAACTTTTTTTAGTACTCTTATTGTCTCAATAGAATTTAGGGTTCGGGTTGGTTCCGCAACTACAAACTTCGAGAATGCATCAGTCATAACTAACATGTAACTATATCCTTTCTTTGTTTTGCAAAATGGACCTAAATGATCCACATGAATTACTCTAAACGCCTCGGCAGGTTTAGGAATGGGATGTAGTAGCCCTTCTCGCCTACCATTTTCACCCTTTCCATACGCACAGTGTAAGCAAGCCGTCACATATTTTTTAATAAAACGACTCATTTTCGGAAACCAATAATCATTTTTGATTAAGTCTGTACAACGCTTTATTCCTACATGTCCTATATCATCGTGATGCATTTGAACGATTTTCCACCTAGCTACCCTAGGAACAACAAGCCTATTTCCGTTAATAGTCTGTCTATATAATCTATCGTTAATAACTACGAAGTCCCTAACTATGTCCTTATCTGCGGCGCCCGATTTTAATTGATCGATAATACTTTTGACTTTTTCATCCTGTATCTGAACCGTATAAAACCAATCTTCAGACCCCAACCTATACACATTGACCGTATTTAATGCGTTCCTACTTAAAGCATCAACGTGTCTCATTCGTTCTCCGGGTCTGTATTCAATATCAAGGTCGTAATCCTGTATCATCAACCACCATCTTGCAATTCGAGGAATTAAATCGCGTTTAGTTAAGGTCGAACGAACGGCTGTACAGTCAGTGACTACCTTTACTCTTTTACCTACTATGTAAATTCGAAACTTCCGTAGTGATTCAACAACAGCAAGCGTTTCGAGTTCATAACTGTGGTACATACTCTCATGTTTAGATGTTATGCGACTAAAATACGTGACTGGCCTCAAAGTGATATCAAGTTGTTTTTGTAAAAGGATGCCTGCTATCCCGGCCTTACAGGCATCTGTATGAATCTCAATCTCGAGAGAAGGATCATATAAAGCTAACACAGGTTTAGAACACAAGCGTTTCTTTAATTCTACAAAACTCTCCGCCTGAGTAGTGCCCCAATTCCAAGCTACATCCTTCTTAGTTAAATCAGTTAATGGACGAGCTATTTGAGCAAACTTATAGATGAATTTCCTAAAATAACTGCACAACCCTATAAACTGCCGAACTTCATGTACATTTTTGGGTGCTGAAAATTGTGAAACTGCATTGAGCTTATGTTCTGCGGGTTGTACTCCATGTTCAGAGATCTCATGACCCAGATAAGTAACTTTTTGTTGCAAAAATGAACATTTATTCATATTTAATTTAAGATTTTCTAATTTAAATTTACTAAGTAATATTTCTAACATTTTAAGGCCACCCTTAACACTTGTTGAAGGTAACAAGATATCGTCTAAGAACGCTAATACTTCACATGAGTCTTCGAGGCTATTATTGATTGAACTCACTATCCTACTAATTAGTCGCATGAACACTGCGGGTGAATTTGCTAACCCAAATGGCACTCTAGTATATTCATAATGCCCTGCTTGACAAACAAAAGCACTTTTGTGAGTATCTTGTGGCTTTAATGGAAGTTGATAATAGCTTTGTGCCATATCGAGACAAGTGAAATATTTTTTTCCCTGACAACTTTGCTATATGATCTTCAATATTAGGCATAGGATACCTATCTTTTATTGTAATTGAATTCAAGGCACGATAGTCTACACATAACCTACTATCACCATTCTTTTTCTTAACTAAAACAACAGGAGATGCATAACTTGATTCGGACTCTTTGATAATACCTGCATTTAACAATTCGGTAATTTTACTTTTTACAATGTCCTGTTCACAATGTGATAACCGATAGGGATGGCGATAAATAGGCTTTTCAGTGGTGAGATTGATTGGCATTGAAATGAGATTAGTACAACCAAGGTCGTCAGTACCCCTAGCAAAGCAATCCTTAAATCTAACTAACAATTCTATTAATTGTAAATATTCACTGTCTGTTATTTTACCAATATTCATATCTGCTATTTGAACACCCCCAATAGTATCTTCAGGCTTTAAATGTAACACAGATTGCACACAGTTAGTAAAATAAGGAAGGCTAACCTGGCTATCTATGGCTGGCTCTGAGCAATCCTCTGCCCGCGTGAGGATTTGACTGGCGTCCCATGTTATGTCCTTTTGGCCGCTGTTGATTATCTTTATGTAACCCAAATTGCCTCGCAGAAGCGTAGCTGGTAAAGAGTAAGAGATATCTCCAAACTCATAATGTCGCATAGCACTGCATACATTGTTGTCTTCGCGGTTTCCTTCAACTCTTACTCGGATAATTGACGTTCCCGGGGGTAAAGTTTCTTTGGCAGCCGTGACGACGATATACTTTCCCAATTTGTTAATGTCATTAATTTTAGATAGAAAATCACAATTCTCAATTAATCTCAGAGTGGCCGCGCCATTTTCAACCGTCAATGTCACGTTTCCCGCGTTAATGACAGGCTGTCCAATCAATAGGTCTACGTCACCCATCTCTGCGTCTGTCAAGTAAGCTTCACTAGACATTTCCACGTTATCTATTTTCAGATTTATTTGAACTTTCCCGCGGGATGTAATTAAACCGCCGGCAAATCCTTTAAGTATTATTTTCGTTGGTATGACTTTCAAGGAAAGGGCAGTAGAAATCTTCGCGCTCATTACATTTACTTGGCTACCAGTATCCAGATATGATTTGATATAAATGCCATCTACTTGAGCTGTTTTTTTGTAGGTATCGTTGTAATTTTGAATTAATTTTATGTCTCTAACACCACCACCGGCCGAGTTTAAAATCGAAGTATCACATTTTGTGGCTATATGTCCTTGCTTACCGCATTTATAACACAGGCGTAGATCTGGCATGGAACAATTACGCAGCATGTGACCAACCTTCTTACATCGTGGGCACGGGTCGTTTTCATAAACTTTTGGGACAGTAAAAGGTTGGTTCTCTTTGCATTGCGGGCGGGTGACAGATTGTCCCCGATAGTCATCCATTGCGCTAAGGAACCCTTCGTAAAGTTCATCAGGACGTTCGCATTGAAAAGCAAGTGCGTTAGGTTGCAAGGAAGCGGGTAGGCCGCGTATTATACATGACACGCTAGCAGCATCCGATAGCTTACATCTAAAACATAATGTAGCTTTATCTTGATAATATTTGGTCATAGATTCATTAGGTAGCTTTTTCCTTTGCATCATTTCCTCTAGCAAAGAACCGTAATCTCGATGCTTCGGAAATGCGCGTAGCAACAAGACTTTCCATTCTTGCCACGTATGATCATAATCATCGAGTCGATTATACCATTTGCGAGCCTGACCGCGTAGCTTGTCTTGAAGGTAGAATGCCATTACTGTGTCACTCCATGTATATATCTCTCCCAATTGCTCGATCTTATTTATCCAGGCCGACACCGTGCAATCGTCGCTGTCAGGATCGAAATCGGGAATTAGCGATGACGTTCGTTGAGGGTTGCTTGGGCCGGCGCTAGAGATTTCCTGATTTAGATCGTTCATGGCTCTTTTTACTTCATTTTGAAGCAATTGCTTTAACAATTTCTTGGCAGGCGGTTCCTCATGATTTCGGTCGGTGTTGTTTTTTCTGGAGGAACTGTTTCGGCGGACGCCGTGTCCAACTTTATTGCGCTTCATCCCACTTCTGAATTGTAACGAGGTAATTTAAATAAACAACTTGACCGATTAAAGACTTTAATTTTTATCAAATTGTAACAGAGCTTTCGCTTTGATTAGTCCCACAATTAGAATGCCTAACCCAATGTCGTGCACGCGCTTTCGCGCGCTTTTCCCGATATGTGAATGCACGATCTGTCATCTCGGGAGTGAACTATCTTTGTCACTACAGACTATATCACACCACAGACTGTATCACATCACAGACTATATCACAGTCTACGGCTCGGTTTGTGATTGGCTCTGTTTGCTAACATGATGGTTAGCGGCTGGCATGGCTGGCATAGCTGGCATAGCTGGGCATGGCTGGCATGGCTGGCTTGGCTGGCTTGGCTGGCTTGGCTGGCTTGGCTGGCTTGGCTGGCTTGGCTGGCTTGGCTGGCATTGACTCGGCTTGTAGGGCTTAGCACAACATCTTAGGTAACGCGTTACACTTTATGATTATCCTTTAAAATTTCCTCAACACAACTTTTTTTCTTAACACAATTTTTTTTCATTTTTAATTTTTTTTTTTTTTTTTTTTTTTTTTATTTTTTTTTTTTTCTAATTTTTTTTTTTTTTTTCTTTTCTTTTTTTTTTTTTTTTTTTTTTTTTTTTTCCTTTCTCCCCCCCCCCCTTTTTCTTTTCCTCCCCTTTTTTTTTTTTTTTTTGGGTTTTTTTTCTTTTTTTCCCCGCACCGTTTGAAAAAAATGAAATCGCCTGCACCCAAAACCTTTTTCTTTATCCCCAAAAAAAAGTTTTTTTCCAAAAAAAAAAAATTTTTTTTTTTTTGTGGGGATTATATTTTTTTTAAAAACACCCCATCCCCAAAAAAAAAAAAAATCAAAAGTTTTTTTTTTCCCCCCCACTTTCTTTTTTTAAAAATTTTTTCCCCCCCCCCCCCCCCCCTTTTTTTAAAAACCCCCCCTTTTTTTTTTTTTTGGGTCTCCTTCAAGGGGGGGGTTTCCCCCCTTTAAAAAAAAAAACCCCACCAATTAAAAAAAAAAAAATTTTTTTTTTTTTTTTTTTTTTTTTTTAAAAAATAATAATTTAATTTTTTTTTTTTTTTTAAAAAAAAAAAAAAAAAAAAAAAAAAAAATAAAGGAAAAAAAAAAAAAAAAAAAAAAAAAAAAAAAAACCCCACCCGGGGGGGGGAAAAAAAACCAAAAACCAAAAAGAAAAATTTTTTTTTTTTTTTGGGATATTACGACTCCTAGTAGAAACCTTACTTACATCATTATGAAAGGAAGTTGTAAAGTAAAGTTAAAATCGATCGAATGACACCGGTTGAGGGAGATCTGAACAACACTTATGGGTTGTCAAAGAAGGTGGCACAGAGACACTGCTGCGCATCGGTGTCCCCTTCCCCTTCACCAGTGCTAGATGCTGTTCTTCTTAAAGTTTGGACTTGGGTCTGCAGTCCAAGGATACGTAACTGAGCCTGCTCGAAGTTCTCGTTCAAGCGTTTGATTTGACACGTCATTCGCGATTGTATCTGTACGAAAAAATATAAGATATAGTGGTTAGAACGCTTGTTGGGAATTAAACGCTAACATGTTTTTATTCGCTGTCACTCAGAAAAGACAAAAGACGCCTTACATTCAGCCTGATGCCTTAAATTCAATAATACCTAATACACTGTGTTTGGGTGCAGTTTATTTCATTTCCATTTCATAAGAGGTAACAGTGAAATAATTTAGTTAGGTTATTTACAAATTTATTTAAACTTCTCCCCGTACGGTTCGGATGCTTTGCAGTAGCCGAGGTCGCAGGGGGACTTAAGATGGAGGGTGTCCCTAAAGTCAAAGTCGTACCAGAGCACGAGCGTCAACTGTTTCGTCGTAGTTAGTATTTGGCGAATCTGTCTGGGTCCTTACATAACTGACTCACCGTTGTCAAAATTAATTGTAAGTTAAATAATATATTTCGCGTTTGAAACCGTTGAGTGATAAGTAAGTATTTAGTTGTGTACTACTAGCTTGAAGAACAAACAATACCTAATAAAAATACTTTATTTTAAATTATTTTTAACTTATTAAATATTATGTGAAGCCGAATTACTTAAACGAAATGTAAGTAGAAATTATAGGGGGCGTTATACTTTAAAAGTACCTCTTCTCGCTCCTTTTCGGCAACTTTAACTTGAGCTCGGGTCGACGCGAGTTGCCGTTCTAGCTCAGCCACAGTTGTTTGCATACACCTTGGAAAAATGAAATACTTGTGAGACACTGTAATTTACTCGTTAATTTTTTTTAATTACTGACAACTTTTATAGACGGGGAATACCCCAGCTATAAAAAATCTCAATAAGGTACGCTACCGAAATATTGGGGTGTTGGACATTTGGAAATCCATAGACTAAAACGCGATGAAATTCACGGTTTTTTCACCTGTGGACGGTGGTTTGTGATCCTCTAACAGAGTTTTTGAAATTCCTACCACCCTATCAATATCCAGATTGCCAGGCAAAATCCAACATGTTTTGTCATGTATAATAAATTGTTTAAAAACATGTGGACCTGGTGGGGATCGCACCCACGTTGTTTATCATCGTTGATTATTATTAGCTATACGATCGGTGCAACTGTATAAAACGTAGGTTTATTTTTATTTTAGCACGAGGTTCATTTGATGGATGAAATACCCTGGCCATATAACCTATAAACAATAATCGCTGTTGATCGATTTTATTTTATATATATATTATATAACACCAAAGAGCAAAAAGATCTAGATCCGTTATACAGTCAATATCTTACTTTCGTATTGTTTCGGTTCGTTCGTTGGCCCTCTGTAAGGCCCTGGCTGCCTCGTCCCTAGCCCTGTCGAGTTCGCCGCCTATCTGAGCACACTCGTGCATTTTCTCTTGCAGCCGCTTCTCATTCGCTAGGACGCCTTCTTCCATGCGTATTACATTTGCCCTGCAAGGTAACCGCGGTGAAATATCATGTCTGTTTGTTGTTGAGACTTTATTACAAACACATAGGTGCATATTATCTAACATAAGCTATTAACATTAGTTTCATTCGATACAATTAATATAAATTTTAATATTTTCAAGAGTATTTAAAAAAAAATTAAATATAGGAATTGTTTAAATTTTTTTCTATTCTATCAAATAATCTATATTTGAAATTATTAATTTTTCAAACCAAGCGTGTTTAGGTTCTTGTCGTCATCTCTAATTATAAAAGAAAAACGCTGTAGAAATCACTTTATGAGGGTGAAGGCGCGGGGAAGTTATTATTTAATGTTTCATTTGTAATCAATATCAATCCCCACATAAAATAAACTAATGTATAAAATTCAAGATAAGCATGGTACCTACCACTGATAACAACGTCAAACTCAATTTATTAAAAAAAAAATTATTAACTGATGGTGTGAATGCCTAATGCACGCCCACGTCGGGCAAGTGTGACGTGGGGAGTGTGGTAAATCGTATAGCCGACCAGAACAACTAAACAAACCACCAGCCCCCTATGGTGATTTAAGGGAGCCGCGGGATGAACGACCCACTAGAATTTATTAAAGCTTAACTCACTTGAGTCTTTCGATCTCACTCTTCAATGTTATGTTAGATTCGGTTAGCTGAGTGATTCTCTGTTGCAAGAGAGCTATCTGTTTCTCGTCTCCGCTTCGTTCAGTAGGCTTCTCTGGTGGTTTTAGACTGTTGTGCAGTAGTACGTGAACCTAAAACGCAAGGTTGATTGGTATTTTTATTATAATAGAGTACAGACAAGCATGGGTTTCAACTATCATAGTCAGTCATATAACATCTCAATAAAATACGCTGCTGGCCTATTTAGGCTATTGATATCCTCAAGTCAAGAATTCACTCATCTATGTTAATATTCCCACCACCCATTAAATATCCAGATTTCCAAACGACGTCCTTTTATTATTAGCCATAACTTTCTATTACATCGAGCTCGTGGTATTTATAAATGAATGTCTGTAGTTCGTACAGACATAAGCAGTTTATAGCAGTGCATACCTTTTCTCTGGCGCAGTTGAGTTCACGTGCAAGTTGTTCAGCGTTATGTTCGGCAATCGCCTGCGACTGTTGAGCATCCTTCAGTTTCATTTGTGTCGCTTTTAATAAGTCCGGTATTGGAGCTAATTCTTGTAGTTTTTCTTGGAACTTCAACTGTTAGCAAGTAAGATCTTTTTCATTATGTGCAAGGATTCTTGTAATGGTGCATCTTTGGGATTAAGTAAGGTAAAGGTGGAAGAATAGCTTACTTCTATTTTAACAAAATACTTCCTTTATATTTTTTTTGATAAATCATATTTTACTTAAGTTGGATTTATAAAAAGGAAAACCTATACACTTGACTCAGGGGTCAAGACGAGCTTTTCTAATTGTAAGACTAAATGGTGATAGATTATTTTGTAAAATACCTAACATAGTTGTAAATTAGTTATTTCTTAAATTACATACCAAAGTACCAAGACCAGTGCCTTTGTGCTGCGTTTACTATTTAATATTGATGGATGTGTTTTACGTTACCTACCTTAACTTTTTGTATTTCCAGATTGATTTGCTCGCTTATTCTTGTATTGTCCATATCCATCACATCCATCTGGCGGCGTTGCTCTTCAACCAATTGTTGGACTTGTAGATACTATAGGTATGCGTAAGATAAAGTAAATATATGTATAACAGATGGCAATCTCTTTTAAATAAAACACTTAGCGGTTTAAAACGCGAAATGTATTAGTTAAACACTTTATTAGTTAATTACGACACGATACTAGTGCCATCGTAGCAGTTTATTTTATATTAGAGATACTTTCCGTCTTCAGTCCTCCCGCGACCAAGTTTGCTGCAAAGCAGAACAACGCGGCGTAAATAAAATAAATTCTAAATACGTTTAATAATACATTTCGCGTTTTAAACCGTTAAAGTGTTTTATTTAAATGTCTACTACTCGCGTAAACTACAGGCAATATTTAAAACAATTCGTATAAAAGTAATCTAATATATTTTGAGCAAACAAAAGACGGTGTTTATGACAATCTCGTCTCAGCTTTCACTCAATATGGAATTAACAAGTACAAATGTACTGTCTATAGTTTACGCGAGTAGTACACATTTAAATAAAACGCTACAAATGCATCTACTTGTTCTTACCTTGGTCCTGTAGTCTTGCAACTGATCATTCTGCTCCTTCATGAGTACCCTCAGCTCGTCGATTTCCTCCCTGGCCTCCCTGTAGCACTGCTTCAGCGCCCGCACGTTCACCTCTTGTTCGAACGCTTGCTCTTTGCTGCCCAGCGCCATGTTCGTGGTAGTCGTCAACCCCTCGAACTTCATCTCCAACTCGCGAAGCTTGTTCTGCACCTCGCGATGTTGGCATCTCTCCTTCTCCAATTCTTCCTTCTTCCTTAGCACGTCCGCTCGAAGCATGGCGCACTGGTAAGAAACAATCGTTCAAGTCCAGTCGCGTGCATTACATCATACTAGCTGTGTCAACGACTTGGTTCGCGTAGAATAGTAGTTTAGTAGAAAAGTAATTCGAGCCAGTCTCTGAGACTAATGCGTTCAAACAAACAAACAAACTCTTCTATTTTATGTATTAGTATAGAATAGATTTCAGGTAACAAACCTCTACAACTTTCTTTTTGAAATTTTCTTCGGTTTGACGGAGTTGTATCGTCAACTTTTGCACCTCCCTCTCGGCGGGCGTCTGTAAATAAAAAAATAAGTATTTATTATTTACGGGCGAAACTTACGTTGAAATACAAAGTTGCAAGGTTGGTTTAATACATACCGGCGGAGCGTTGGGGTTGCATGGCGCCGGACATGGGGGGCAAACGCCACACTGTTTACAAAGACACGATTTACTTATACTATAAACTCGCTGTATACAGGTGATATCTGTTTTAGATTATGTGTCATTTAAATTTATAAGAAAACTCACCGCTTTGGTCATTGGTGGTACGGGGGGACCGTCGGCCTGTAATAAAATTTTTAACATTTTTTCTGTAAATTCTTCACTAGGTTTTAATGAAGTGTCTATACAAAGTAAAATAACATTTAAATACTGTCTATAGTTTACGCGAGTAGTGCACATTTAAATAAAACGCTTTAACGGTTTAAAACGCGATATATGTCTCCCCGTGACCACGGCTGCTGCAAAGCATCCGAAACATCGGGGTGAAGTTAAAAATTATTTTCAAATAAGTTTAACTAATATATCGCGTTCTAAACTGTTAAAGTGTTTTATTTAAATGTGCACTACTCGCGTAAACTATAGACAGTATTTAACTCCTATCTCAGTTATCGAGTGAGATGACAAATGATCGGCAATCGGAATGACAAGTTATAAGGGTAAAACTTAAGGGTTGAATATATTTTTTTCTATAAAACGAAAATGACAAAAAAATAATGTTAGGGACTGGTAACCCTTATCCCTAAGCGATATGATAAAATAGTAACTGATTCTCAGACCAACTGAGTATGCATATATATATTTTTAAAAAGACGGTCTAATCATTTCGGTGCAGTGTGGTAACTAACACGAGAATTATATTTATACGGTAACCATGGGCACCATATTTTAGAAATACTGACAGGCTGTGCAAAGCACGTGTTGACGCCACCCCCACCGCGACATGCACTCCCTTGGTCCTTGATGCTGGCCATTACGGAGCGAACGTCTTCTATTTCGCCAAACAGCTTATCGACTTCTATTTTCTAAAGAAATAACAAAATTGGTAAAGCCGAAAAGCAAGACTAATTTAAAATATGCTGTGAATATTTTCATTAAGCTTATAAAATCACCAATAATTAAAAAGTTGTAAAATTTATTGTATGTAATAAGCCTTACAATTTCTGCGTAGCAATAATTTTGACATTCAGATTGTGAAAGTAGTGTGGAATCAACGCTATTGTCGTTCTGAAAAATAAATTCGTAATCACAAAAATGGCCTATACTTCTAAAATTAGCAAGTTTATGAGGAGATCAGATAAGCGATGGAAGGTAAAATACCCCAGCCACATAACATCCCAACAAGATGTGATGTCGGCCTATTTGACTCTGGATATTCGGATATCCAAAGACTGAAACCAAAAGAGAATTAAACTTCACGGATTTTTCATCCGTGGTTAGTGACTCAGACTAAATTCATTCCTACCGCGTTCTAGAAAATGTATATATTGTTGACAGGCATGTTGGATTCGGTGGGAATCGTACCCAGTTCATTGCCCATACATTGCCATCATTCGACCCCAGATGCACAGGTTTTATCTGATATCTGTTTTAGACTGTTACCGTGAAATAGATTGATGTACCTGATTATATATCAACGCACTTGTTTAAACTTACCCTGACATCACAAGAACTCTGGACTGAGGTATCTTCTCTTACTGGAGTGGCATCGCCCTGGAAGTGACTAATTATTATTACTAGAAGTACATTGATTTCACACTTTTCGTTATTATTTTAATATAAAGTATAATTCTTATAACGCCCAGGCTTACGGTAATACTATCAAACACCTAAACTCAATCATGATCTTCGACTTGATTCACGAGTACTTCTTTCTGCTTGTTGCTGACGTGGCCAACATCAAATACTTTCAGCATATCATGAGCAGAAAGAGGTTCTGGACGTTTCGACATCACAAGCGGATGCGCAGAAGGGTAGGTTTTTTCCTAGTTACTTGACACTTAATGTCATATTTTGGACAGCTCACAATATATCTATAAATTGTAGCCTATGTGTTATTCTGATGTATAAGCTGGAAAGTTTAATTGAAATCCATTCAATAGTTTTTGCGTGAAAAAGTAACAAACATCCATCCACACATACAAACCTTCACGTTTATAATATTAGTAGGAATCTTATATCTATGTTATACAACGAATGTTTCCGATGTGTGAATGAGTGAAGATGTTTCTTCTATTCGTGTTTTGTGTTATTTTATTTGAAAACGAAACAAATAAACCTAACGTTTCACTTATTTATACATTCTTGACGAAAATCTCATTCTGTACTTTACTCGAGTAGTACTCATTTAAATAAAATACTTTAACGGTTTCAAACGCGATACATTTTAGTTAAACTCGTTTGAAAATCATTTTAAATACTGTCTATAGTTTACGCGAGTAGTACGAGCTCCAGATAAATTGTTCTATTCAAAAGAACAATAGAGGACGTGATAAGGAATACACAGGGACGCGTCAAGAAAAAAAAGAAATTATGTACAATTAGTTCCGAGATTTTTTTAACACTTGACGTTGGCTAATTCGAAAAAGGTAATCTAGAGATATTGAAATTTAATTACAATTAGGTATACTTACAATATAACCGTTCACTTGGAAAAAAATGATTTGGCAAGTGTATTATTTTTAGACGCGCATGACATTGTAAGTCAGTAAAAAGTCTGTATACAAACTAGTTGGACACGGTCCTAACGTTAACTATACATCGGAGATGCACACACCGCAACGGATCGAATACCGGTGGCCCGCCGACAGCAAAAATAATATTCAAATTGATAAATTCTTTACTTTAATTACTAATACTTTTAGCGGCCCGCCATCAGTTCATGATTTGTCCGAGTGGCACCTAGTCTTAATAAGATTGTGCATCCCTGCTGTTGAATTATTGAGGCTTTTATATACTGTCTATAGTTAACTAATATAATATAACTAATATGTCGCGTTTTAAACCGTTAAAGTGTTTTATGTAAATGAGGCTTTTATACTTGTGGATGGTTTTTCGTGAGCTTGTCTTGTAGTGCTGAATTTTCCTTCTCCAACAGCTTGATTTTCCCCTGCGTCCGTTGCAATTGGGCCCGACATTGTTCCAAGTGGTTGTCTTTGCTGAGCAGCTCCTTCGTTAGAACCAATCTAAAATTATTGAAAACTACGTCTCACTCACCTTTAAATTTTTTTGTAATTTTTTGCAATTAACTTCAATACATTGTTATAACTGTCGAATAATGAAGTAAATATGACGTTTGTGAAATCCGTGCCTGTCACTTAATTTTTAATAAACTGTAATAGTCCACGAAGGTTTCATACCAACGATGTTATGTCTAAATTTATTCATTCTTCCATATTTTTATAGAAGAAATAATAAGAGGTCATTGACCCTTTGCTCTAGAGAATAGTAATGTTCTCGGCAAAGTCGATTTTTTTTTACAATAGAAAAAGACGGCTTAATAACCCAGTCACACAGCACATCTCAATAAGATGTGCTGTCGAGCTATTTTTGTTTTGAATATTCGGAAGGACGTAAATTGAAACCGAACGCGATTAAACTTCACGCCTTTATTGCATGTGCAGGTGACGTTCGTGACCCGACGAAAATTTCGACATTCCTTAAATTTGTAAAAAAATGTTAAAATATGTGTAATGTGTGTCAATAGCACGGAAGTATTTTTTTTTTTTTGAAACAATTAGAAAAACAATACAACTAACCTCCTATTGTCTAAATCCACATTGTCGGCCACGAGTTTCTCTTGCATATCGTAACTTTCATTTAACTTCCGAGTGAGGTTAAGTTCCTTAACAATAAAGCATATATAAATAATACATATTGAAATTAAAAATCGATAATAAACCGAAAAAGATTACGACTCGGGCATTATTAAGGTTTTGAAAACGTCTCATTTTAAAGGAAGAAGTTAAAGTTATTATAATATTATATAGAAAATACGATGACATGGTTTTTAAAAAGATCGAAATAATATATAGACATAGATAACATTTAAAATATTTATTTAATCCTCTCTATTTGACAACCAAAACACGTACTATGCGTGGGAAATTCTTATGGTCTTTCTAATTTATTGCTTGAAATTGGTATTTGTTCAATTGGTTTCCTTTGGGTTTCAGTTCCACACTACATTTTAGTTAATACATTTCCAACCATTCAGCAGTTGTGATTGGAAACTTAGAATAGTGTTAAAATAATTATTTAATATTCACCTCGTTTATTAGTGATTATTTAATCAATGTCATGGTTTTGTTTAATCATGGTTATAATAAAGTATAAAAAAATCTAAATATATACTACTTTATGTTCTGTAAATGCTGCCATACATTGCCTTTTAAGTTATCGATACACGGCTTTTGCGACTGCAAGTCCATAGCTCGGTATTCATCACATTTAAACATGGAACGTTTTGACACTCCCGCGCACTCGTCCAAATCAGAATCTGAAAAAGAAATGAACCGCCCGTCAAGAGACACTATAAACAATCCTTTATTCTCGTAACTACACCTATGAACGATACAATCTGAAATATACACAACGGGTTATACACAACGGTTCTTAAATAATTTTAATAGATATTCAATGTATTATTATGTCATACATTGTTTCTTGTGTAAACCTCAAGAAGACAAAAAACCCTACCTGATACAGAGCAAAGTGGATCATCACCCACTTTCCTTTTATTAAACTCAGTTAGTTGAACGCTTAGACTCTTCAACATTTTAGTGTATTGATCGATTTTGTCCATTTCGTGTAGCAACAATTCGTTCTGTTCGTTCATTTCTTTCAACTCCACTTTGGTAAGGATCGGCTTCTGTAAAAGAGAAAAAAAAAAATTAAGCAAGGTGTTATATGACTGGGGTATATCGCGTTTCAACAATTTGAGCCCAATCCTTGTCTGTTTCACCTCTATCAATAAAACGTTGAACCTAAATACTATCATAAAATAGGAACAAAATTTGTAATACAGCTCACAAAAATCTATTATATTTTCATCTTAAAGTTGTTAACATAATTAATAGCAGCTCGTAGATGTATCTTTGCTTCCACCGACAGCGAGGAAATGGGCATACCATTTTCTATATCTATAGAAATATGTTATGGGTATCAAGGTAGATGCATAAGACAGCCATGCTATTCATTTTCAGCTGAGTCTGCATCCCGAGGCGCCACAAACAGTTTACGAAATTAGCGTTAAGTTTTCTGTGTAATTTTGTGGCAATAAACAGATTTTATTTTACTTTCCTTCATCTAGTAATCTAAAAATACCTTCTGTATCTCTTGAAGCCTCCTCCTGGAGTCCAGAAATATTCTTGCGCTTTTACGGGTCTTATTGTGTATTGCGTGTATTTTTTTCGTAACGGGCTCGTTCAGACACGCAATGGAGGGAGAACCTGACCAAGATACAATTAGAATACACTTCTTTTCCTGAATTATAACTGTCAATATTAGATTTAAAAATTTACGACACGGGCACGACTTGAACCGGCATCCACGGCGTTGCGTGCTGTTCTAACGAGTTGAGCTACCGTGTCCTACACGTCATCTATGATTTTTTTCAACCCATTGATACTTGCTACTCTCGCGACTCTGAATTAGGACGCGTGCTGTCAAAAGCTTTCAACACTTAGAATAATAAAATAGTCACTTGCATTAAAAATAGTAGGTATGTCCACGCACTACTCACATGAACGGGATTTCTGTAAAAGAAGTATTGTATGTATTTAAATAAAACACTTTAACGGTTTAAAACGCAATATATTAGTTAAACTTATTTGGAAATGATTAGTATTGTATGTAGTTAACGCGAGTGATACTCATCTAAATAAAACACTTACTTAAAACCCGACTATAGTAATGTTTAGTTAAAATATATTTCGCGTTTCAAGCCGTCAAGTGTTTTATTTAATATATATAATAAAAGTATTCCTTCTTATATATACCTAAATTTTCTTTTAAATTAGACAGTTTACTGAGGCGATAGTAATATTAATAATAATTTAAGCTAACTTATCACGTCGCTATCGAATAAATAGAAATTATTAAGACTTCTGTATAGGTGCCCTACTAAAATCAGGTCAGAAATAAAAAGTCTGATCAACTACTTGCCCGTTAAAAAGAACGGATCAGTGAAACGGACACAGAAATGTGTTCGCCCCATGCCCCATGCCCCACGAGGGGGAAACGGGCTCACATCTGGTAAAATATTTATTCTATTTATACTTCTGAAGACTCCTTATTTTTTAACCTTTAGATGTGTCTAGATTAGCACCAATGCTGTTTTTTGTGACTACTGACCAAATATAAGTTTTTCTATGATAACTAAGTATATAAGAAATCGTGAGACCATTTACCTTCGGTATAACGTCACCTCGACCCGGCTTTTCGCATCTCTTCAGATGTTTGGAAAGCGTTTTTAAATGTCCTTCATTCATATTTACAGCACCATAAACACCTGATGCACCTGGAACTCTCTCGTCTCCTTGTCCAGATTTTCTTTTGATATGCAGTGCGTCTTGTTGTCTATTTGGCTACAAAACAACCAATATCTATATATATAATAGTGAATACATCACTTTAACGGTTTAAACCGAAATACATTAGTAGAACTTATCCTACTAATATTATAAACGTGAAAGTTTGTATGTGTGGATGGATGTTTGTTACTCTTTCACGCAAAAACTACTGAATGGATTTCAATTAAACTTTCCAATAATATCCCTTATACATCAGAATAACACACAAGCTCCAATTTATAAAGATATTGTGTGAGCTGTCCAAAATATGACATTAAGTGTCAAGTAACTAGGAAAATACCTACCTTTCTGCGAGCTATTCTGGCGTGCGCTGCCACAAACGTTAGTTACGCGTAGCTATGTAATGTATGATATGATAGACATCATTTAGTTTAAATGCGCGATACTACGTAATCCTAATCCTGCGTAGACGAAGTCGCGGGCACCTGCTAGTCTAAAAATAAAATGAACTACGACCCGAGACTTCGGATGCTTTGACAGACTCGTTGGTAATGGAGGCAATGTACGGCTAATAAGTGGGTCGTAGGTATGATTTTTCTCAAACGTCTGGACTTCGTCTGGACATTAAATGGATGGGAGGAATATCGATATTCAGTCCAGGTGACGAACAGTCCAGAGATGAAAAAGCCGTGAAATTTATTCACATTCCGTCTGTGGGTTTACGAATATCAAAATTCAAAAAAGGTCGACAAGGCATCTCGTTTAGGTGCTATATATTTCACCTACCATCAAGTAACCCCGTGCTTGTCTCATTATCTATCATAAAAAAATTTATTAATTTGACTTTGAGTCCTTAGGTGACCTTTACTACGCAGTGTATTACCAAATTCGATTCGGACGCTATAGCGCCTTCCTTTGAAGTTATTTTAGTGCTGCAAGCCTCGAGGTGTTCCTTGCTCTTGAAGTTTCCCCAAAGTTTGGGTAATTTTAAGTCCGGACTGCTAATTGTTTTTGACACAGTACAGGACCCTTGTGGATCAATACGAGGGGTTCGTGTTTTCGGAATTTTTACGGTCTAAAACAATGATTTTTATATTATTTACTTAAGCCAACTAGAATTTATAAGTTTTGACAGTGTCTGGCGGAAAAACTATAGGAGAGCTGTGTAAAATTGCAATAGTTCACAAGATATTTTTACGAATCTTAATGAACGATCGCCAAAATTACTGGAACTGTGGTATTGCTTCAATATCAAGTTACATAAGGTATATTTTAATAATAAGAAAAACTTATTACAACAAAAAAAGTGTGACACCTTTAAATAAAACACTTTAACGGTTTAAAACGCGATATATTAGTTACACATATTTGAAAATGATTTTTATTTCGCGTTTTAAACCGTTAAAGTGTTTTATTTAAATGTGTACTACTCGCGTAAACTATAGGCAGTATTTAAGTATGACACTAATCAGGTTATCCCGCCATATTAAACCTATATATAAAGCTGATGAGTTTGTTGCGCTGTCACTAATAGAAGCGAATAATACATGAGAAATGTGGAAAATAACAGGGAAAATTATCGTGGGTTCCCTCTACGAAAACGGTTGAACATGTCAGAACATGAAAGATATGTATGAAAGAATGATTTCCCTTCAAATCATCTAAAAAATGTCCGAGACGCTATATGTCTATCTTTTTATATTAACTTGAAAGAACCACGGGACGCGACCGACATCGCGGGTAAAGGTTTTATTTTTCAAAATTCCTCATCTTTCGGTTCAGGTTTGCAGAAACAAATTTTGATGCCCATCTGTATTCTTGGCGGACGAAGTCGCGGGCACAGCTAGTACTTATATATGATTATCAAGCAGTAAATATGTATTTTAGCACCTTCATCGTTCTTATAATTTTCCTCGGCTCAAATCTAAGGATTTCTCACGATTATTTATTATCGTTAGATATATAAACACTTCTCAAAACAATGTTTGACATTCTAGACAAGATGACAATATTGTGTTTTTTTACTTTTAATTGAAAGTTCCTGTCAACCTTCGACATCGAAGTACTTTCAAAACTTTTTCAATATAACTAAATCCAATGCAACGTAAGTAAACATTAATTACGCCTGGTCCACTTATTTGGCTGGATTATCCACCTATCGAATTGAACATCCATCAACCCAATTTACAACAAACATATGACTAAATGTTGTTCATTATGTTATTTATTACTCATAATAAATATTTGTATAAGTAATATACGTATGTTTATATTTTTATTATTTAATAATTGGTTTTCATTTCCTAGTAATTCGTAAGTACAACATATTCTAAAGAAACTATGTAACGTAGGTATGTATTTGATGTTGAAAACTTTTTAACGACTACGAGTACCTACTAGGATTTTTCCAAAACAGTGCTTTCAAACAGGCTGTCCATGTAAAAAAGGCTCAGTTAGGGCTCGCATTGCCATTTAAACTTATTTTTCGACAAATTGTGTCAGTAACTTTTTTGAAGAAAAAAAGATATTTTATATTAAATATGCAGTTGGAGAAACAAAAACATCACTTTAATCTATATCTATATCTATACTAATATATAAAGCTAAAGAGTTTGTTTGTTTGTTTGAACGCGCTAATGTCAGGAACTACGGGTTCGAATTGAAAAATCTTTTCGTATTGGTTAGAGCATTTATCAAGGAACGCTATAGGCTAAAAAAACTAACTAAAAACGATTCAAGATACCCAAAAAATATGTGTCAGAGAATGATTTTTCTTTAAATGATCTAAAAAACAGTCCGCGGCGCTATATGTCTATATTTTAATATTAACTTGATAAATGAACTTGAAGACCGATGGGAAGGGATACGACCGACGTCGTGGGTAACAGCTTAAGTTTATAAAGAAGGAGTTTTTAAAAACGAATTTCGATGCTCACAATAAATATTCTTAGCGGACGCCGTCGCTGGCTCAACTAGTTATTAATAAATAACGACATTGAATTTCACCTAGCGCCATCTAGAAACGAAACAAAAAGCTTAACGCCGTCAAGTTTTACGCAATTGTCACAGACAGAGCAATATTATCTATGGCAGCATTTGACAATGACGTTTTGCAAGCCAAACGCGATCAATTCTTACATTGGTCATCTTAACGTTTTACAGTAGGTACTCAGTTATAGAGGGCGAGAGCAAACGCCCTATATTTTAGTAAACTAACAAAAGGCACAATAATGTTAAACAATTGACTGAATCTATTAAATGTTAACTTTTATAATTTTTTGATTTTGTTGTGATAATGTCTGTAAGTGCTAGTGCGGAGAATCTATCCACCGATGCTCAGGTAATTATGATAGCATTAATTTATAATGTATAGGGCATAGCTTGGTACAGTCGCTGCATTCAATTTAGCGGTGTTAGTTCCTATCGACAGCCACTGACTCATGCGCTTAGGGTCCCAATACGGAAATAATTATGTCAATATCCTTATTACAGAACAAAGCAAAATATTATCTCGTTATATTTTTGACGCTCAGGTCAATGTTATCGTGTTACAGTTTTTGTGACATAACAATTTTCACGTTCGTTAATAAACTGAACTGCATTTGATAAATCATTGTTCCTGTACTTGACCTATTTAAAAATGGCATCCTGCAAATCAATAATCACTTATACACACATATACATCAAACAAATGACTGCCTTACTGACTTGAATGTCTTTGTTCTGCAGAGACAATAAATAACTATATTTCAGAATTGCAATGATTTGTTATTTCATTTTATTTAAGTACTTCTATTATGACTAATTCTATTTTATGGTTTTTTAAGTTTGTCAACTGTACTTTAAAATTACTATAGACCGTTGACGTGACCCTCCACCACAGAGACATAGTTTTGATACATTTTAAAAAGGATTATATATCTAACACTGTGTTAATTTACATGAACCAATTTTTAATTTTTAAATTATACACAACAAAGCGTGATTAAAAATAAAGTCTATAATATCCTTCGGGTGCATATATTGCTAAGTTATAATTTAATATCCTCTAAGAAATAATGTATTCAGTTTAAATGCTAAAATAGAGTAACGTTAGCATAAACAACATGAATATTTATCATTGATGTTCATGCATCGCTTGCGCTCAAAGCAGTTATGTAATATATTACTTGCAAATATTAATGGGTTCTGTGCACTTAAGACAGGTCCATTACCAACCCTTTGTGTAACAACTATACAGTAATACTGTGCTGTAACATAGAACTTGTTATTTTCTTTGTATTTGTATTAGCTCATAATTAAATTTTAATATCAGTATTGTATATAGGTACTAAAAACTAGATAATAATTGAGCGCTTAGTTTTTAAATTTAAACAATAATTGAATAAAGCGAAATTGATTTAGTCATAAAAAAACAAAATTAAAAAATATTTTTTCACCAATGTATCGATTAGTTATCCTCTATGGGTTGGTGATAGCATCCGTCCAGTTTCTCTGGGTTGATATTAGCATCTGTCCAGTTTCTCTGGGTTGATGCTAGCATCTGTTCAGTTTCTCTGGGTTGATGTTATCATCTGTCTAGCTTCTCAAGTTTTCACCCATATTAAAGTAGTCCAAGAAGCGGGCGATGTTTTGCCTATTCGCAAAAAACGTTTAATATTGGCTCCGGTCTATTATATACAAAACTCAATAAACAAAAGAGAGATATTAATACTGATAAACAAAGTGTTAGGTACGAGAGGACTAAACAACAAAATCAAGCACAGTCTAGAGCATCTACTTGTATGTATTTAAAAGATAAACAGACCCAAAAATGTGTCTGCCCCATGCCCTGCAGTGAAAGTAAAATTTCTTTTTTGTCAATAAGGAAGAAGACTTCGTACTTATCGGCTTAAAGATAAAAATTAAAAGTGATACACACAAATGGATGCTATAGAGATTAGCTTATACTATTACTCCATACTATTTCAATACAAACACAATTATAAACATAGAAGAAATTAATTTTGTCTATTTACTTATAACAATATGTTCAATGTATTTTTCCAGAGTTGCGATGGAGGATCAATGTGTTTGGAATTGGCGCTGGAAGGCGAGAGACTATGCAAGGCAGGGGACTGCAGAGCTGGAGTGGCCTTCTTCCAGGCTGCCATACAAGCTGGGACAGACGATCTACGGACACTAAGTGCTATATACAGTCAACTCGGCAATGCCTATTTCTATTTAGGAGACTATAATAAAGCAATGCAGTATCATAAACATGATCTTACGTTAGCTAGGTGGGTTTTAAATACATATGATACTATTCACATAATATTAGTACATCAAGCTTGTAGAAAGAATGGTTGTTAGAGATGAAAGTAATATATAGAAGTATAAACATAGTTTTTTTTGAGACGACAGAAGCATGGGGTTTACAAGATAGAAGGTCTTATAATATCCATATAGAATAGGAATCCAAAAAAAGGAAAAGTTGTCCACAGATGAAAAAATCACCTTTTGGTTTCGTTCTTTGCATCTCCGAAAATCCAAAGCCAGGTATAGGTAAAGGTCATCTTTTAAATAAAACAGCTTAACGGTTTAAAACGCGATATATTAGTTAAACTTATTTGAAAATGATTTTTAACTTCGACCCGACGTTTCGGATGCTTTGCAGCAGCCGTGGTCACGGGTAGACTAAAGATGGAGGATGTCTCTGACGTCAAAGTAAAAATTGCTACCCTAGCGATGGCGATGGCTGTTCTGTCGAAGTTGGTATTTGGCGAAACTGGTCGGGTCCTTACAGAATTGACTAACGGTGTCTTTGCGTTTGCCGGTATGCTGTTTATTGGGAACCAGAGTTTTTAATGTGGGATCAAATTATCAAACACCTGCGTTTGATAATTTGAGGCCGTCCTCCCTATTGAAATTTCAGAAAAAATAATTAAAAAAAAAAAGTTAAAAAGTTAAAGTTAAGCCGTGACCACGGCTGCTGCAAAGCATCCGAAACTTCGGGCCGAAGTTAAAAATCATTTCCAAATAAGTTCAACTAATATATCGCGTTTTAAACCGTTAAAGTGTTTTATTTAAATGTGTACTACTCGCGTAAACTAAAGACAGTATTTAATTGCTCATCTTGTTTAGGTGTGATATGAGGGAGGTATTTCCCCTTTACTTCTTCCACCGGGGTCCCTTGGTTTGCTTGTTTGCCCGCCTCTAATAAACATATATGTTTGCATTTGACAATATTAATTTTGTAGTAACATTATTTTTATCTACTCCTTAAATTTTTCAGGACAATGAATGATAAGCTAGGCGAAGCGAAAGCATCTGGGAATCTCGGTAATACATTAAAGGTGATGGGCAAATTTTCGGAGGCGATACAGTGTTGCAAACGCCACTTAGAAATCTCGCGATCGCTTGGAGATAAACTGAGTGAAGGCAGAGCTCTTTATAATCTGGGGAATGTTTATCATGCGCAAGGGAAGCAGCTGGGCAGATCGGGACAGAGCGATCCGGGACAGTTCCCCCAGGAAGTCAGAGAGTGTCTGCTACAAGCTGTGACTTACTACGAGTGAGTATTATAAAATATATCAATTCTAACTAGCTTAAAATATTGATGAGTTCTAATTGGAGTAATAAATACAAATATAGTATTCACTTATTTTATTGGCTAATAGCCTAAAGATTTGATATACATATATTAGTCTGAAAAAAATTATAATTCTATGGGAATTACTTTAGCCGCTTTAAGAAGCCGAGTTTGAACTATTAATGTAAGCCGTCTCAGACTCATATTTTAAAAAAGAAAAAAAAATTCTGCTTTATAAATTGATTAATTTTCTCTCATTTTTCAAATGTAACATGTTTCAAACCAGATAATCAAACAATCTTCGAAGTGGGATTAGAAAATAGGGTGGGGTCAGTATTCTACGTGGATTGTTCACACAGCCTTTGTAACCCCAAGAGAAGAAATGATAAACATACGTCAATTTTCATATCAAAATGCTTTTAAAGCTAATAAAGAATAACTTCCCTTTTTAAAAAAACAGTTCAATTTTTTTTGGGATAAGTCCGTTGAACCTAACAAATTAATTAAATTTATTATAGAATGGTATAATTTAATATTTCAGAGAGAATCTCGAGCTAATGCGAAGTGTTGGTGATCGTCAAGCGATGGGTAGAGCGTGCGGCAATCTTGGCAACACTTGCTACCTCCTGGGCGACTTCACGAAGGCCATCCGATACCACAAAGAGAGGTTAAGGATCGCTCAGGAGGTCGGTGATAAGGCGGCTGAGAGGCGAGCGAACAGCAACCTTGGGAATTCGCACATCTTTCTCGGACAGTTTGAAAACGCTGCAGAACATTACAAGTGAGTTATTCAACTAGATATATATGAAGCTGCTAGAGGCAGAGTGGCCTAATAATAAAAAACAATAATGAGGACAATAAAAATGCGCAATGAACTTAGGCAAAAATAAATTTGTACTATTATTTGTGTAAACATTATTATATATTCCAATTCCAATTTCACTGTGTCTAAATAAAACACTTTAATGGTTTAAAACGCGATATATTGCCGTGGTTGCTGCAAAGCATCCGAAACGTCGGGACAAAGTTAAAAATCATTTCCAAATAAGTTTAACTAATATATCGACGATATATTACTTATTAGATATAACGATTTAATACGCCAAATATATTACGTTGATTCATTTATTACAATTGTGACGTTTCGTTTTTCGTTTTTAAGTAAATTAGTTGATACAGTCCTGCGACAAGTTAAGAAGTTTCTACTTGATCCAGTGTTCGAGAATTTTGCTTAAAGCAAAAGCTATGCGTTTGCCTACCTGTGTTTCTACATGATATAAAAAACTTTTATATTTGCGAAGACGCTTAGACACCGGTGACTATACCTAATGATTTTGTTAGTTGAACCTTTGTATAGAAACAGTCTGGTCTCCATGTGAATTAAGTGAAATTCCGTTTCCCCCTCGTGGGGCACGGGGCGAACATATTTTTGTGTTCTCTTTACTGATCCGTTCTTTAACAGGCAAGTAGTTGATCAGACTTCTGTGCCCTGCCCGACCGAAACATTTTTTTGTTTCCCTGGGCTTCGAACACAGGACGTCTCGCGCTTAACGCAACGCGATACGATTAACCATTGGGCTATAGAGGTGGTCTCCATGTACATATACGTATATTTTTGTTTATAATTGCTAGCGCTTTAACAGAGGTTATTTGCCTAAAAAGATGAGTGTCTGAGTGAATGAGATAGATCAAGTAAACATATGATAACTGAAAAGATAATTAAATTACGCTAATTCAGCCTGAGAATATATTTTGATTAACATTTTATTTTTAATTCGGTATTAATATGCCAAAAAGCATACTTATTCGTATTTTTGTAAAATGCCTTTTATTTGCGAAAAATGTTTGCTATGCGTTGTGGCTTTGATGGTGTTTTTTTTTGTTTTTTCATTTGATTGATAAAAAATAGTTATCAATCTTTTAGTTGCCCTTTCAGCGACTAATATAAATGCTGTAGCGATAGCTTAAGTGAAATCCAGTTCGGGATCGGGTTTTGAACCAATGACTTCTCGCACTTAACGCTATGCTAGACAACACGTTTAACCATTAAGCTAATGGGCCGGTCTCTAACGGTAGCGATAGCTTGCACCACTTATTTTGCTTTAACTGCTCATTAATCCAAGAAACATTTTCTAATAAAAAAAATGTATGTGTCGAACGTGCATTCGCCATGTTAAAACCACAATATAAAGCTGCCGCGGCGAATTATTTATTTATTTAATGTAAACAATATTGTCACTCGGATTTTGTAAATGTTTCATATTAAAAAACTTGGAAAAAATATTGAAACTAATAATCTTGAAAATCGTATTTTATTAAATCGACTTAAAAGTTATAAATATTCAGATAAGCTTTGCGACTAATACGTAATGTAAAGTTAATATTCTTGCCCAGTGCTATGTACCTGTATAAATTTTTATAATCATATGCAGACGGACGCTCGCGTTGGCCGAAGAATTAGGAGACGCCGCAGTGGAGGCCCAAGCGTGTTACTCCCTCGGTAATACCTACACTCTTCTACGAGAATACCGTATAGCTGAGGAGTACCACGCCCGTCACTTGACAGCTGCAAGGAAGCTGCAAGACCGCGTGGGAGAAGGCCGTGCTTGCTGGTCGCTAGGCAACGCACACGCCGCCCTCGGCAACCACGAAAAAGCACTGTACTACGCTAAAGAACACTACAATATTTCAAAAGAGGTATGTCTATTTTTGACTCTTTCACTTGATGGTAGGGTATACCCCAGCCTTAAGCATCTAAACAAGTCGATATATTTTGGCTTTGGATATTCGGAAACTGAAACATGATTAAACTTCACGTCTTTCTCATCTTTTGACGGTGGTTCGTGACCCGGACGAAATTTCGATATTCCTACCACCCATTTAATATCCAGCTTTCCAGACGAAGTCCAACATGTTTCTGAAAAATTAAAAATACGTTGGACTTGGTGGGGACTGAAGCCACGAGCTAATCAATTAATACATTGTCTGAAACATTTTGGACTTCACCTGGAAAACTGGATATTGAATAGGAAATCGAAATTTTGAAAAATCACAAACCACCGTCCGCAGATGAAATGCCGTGAGGCTAATTCGTGTTTCCACCAAAGTCAAAATAGCGATATATCACCTTCTATAAAGTGAACGTATGTTTTTTTTCTCCTGCATTATAAAAATGCGTTATCAGTAATATATATGTTTGATTCTGAAATATATTTAACACAATCTTAAGGGTCGTTTGTGTAGACTCGCAAATATAACCTTGAAACAATAATTATATACTCTACTATCAATGTTTCCAATACAAGACAATTACTCATAAGAGAAAAAGAGGTTATATACTATAGATCCTTCAATTCAACACTTTACTTTTTTTGTTTAGCTGGGAGACGTCTTAGGAATGGCAACGGCGCAAATGAACATTGGTGACCTATGCAAAGTCCTAGGGCTTCCTGTTGACGCGGCCGGATCTCCGCCCTCGCCCCGCTCTACCTCACCGCCGCCAGCGCAGCGTACGCCTTTCAATGCTCTGCGTGTAAGAAGGCAAAGCATGGAACAACTTTCACTAATACAGGTAACATAAAGAAGAAAAATTCGAATCTATGCTAATATATAAAGCGACAGAGTTTGTTTGAAGTTTTAATTATTTGCTAGCACTTTAACGGAGTTTTATTAATAGTTATTAACTATGACACAGATAACACCCGACGCTAAGAAGAAGGAGGAGGAGAAACGTGACGGAGAATCCCGCGAGATGGCGCGAGGCGAGTCTGAAGAGGGGGAACACCCCGCCGAAGTTTTTATGGAACTCGTTGCAAAGTGTCAATCACACAGGTTATTATTTTTTATGCTTCAATAGACTTTTTAAAGCCGCTGCCTAGAAATCTAAACATTGGCCAGGATTATTTATTAGAATAAACTACCAGAACACTGCAAGAATTACACCCCTCCTATTTACGCCAATAATTGCAATATTTACTAATTCTTAATAATGTTGCCGCTTAAGTCACTGTTATTTAAAATATGAAATGGTCGTATGAGCGCTGTCTAACAGACGGTTTTGCTGAAAATCAGTGCTGTACCATAACTGTCCCTGTGTAATCACTTTTGTTAAAATTAAATTAAATTTCTAGATTCCGTCCAGATCACGAACTCTCCCTAAATCTAAGGCCTATACCTAAGTATTTTTTAATTATAGTAACGTTTAAATAACGGTTAAAAATGCGAAAGACATTAGTACATATTAATATGTTTTGCAGCAGTCGTGGTCACGGGTCCTCCTACAAAGCATATTAATAAGTTTAACAAAAATATTTCGCGTTTTAAACCGTTTAAGAGTTTTATTGAAATGTGTTGTAAAGTATACGTATCAGTTTCACGCTAGATCACGAATCTAAAGACTAAGTATCCAAAAAAAGGCTAAAAAATGTACATTATTCAATTAACCCCTAAAAATTTAGAACACATCTTTACTATAATTATCCGTCACACAAGAGAATTTATTTAATATATGATAATATATATATAAATTATATAATCAGTGCTTTACTTATGTCAGAATGGACGAACAGCGAGCCACCCTCGACAAAGAAAACAGACCACGGGAACTGCAACGATCTTCGAGCGCCAACTCAAATGCGTAAGTCACAATTTTAATCTGATCCATATTTGTATTTTCATTTGGTTTTTATTATATCGCACTCTCACTCTCAGTCCCACTCCCACCCCCATTCTCACCCCTATTCCGAAAAAGCTAAAAAAGAAAGTTTCATTGTTCTAGCTTCCACGAATTACCATACAAACACAACCCCCCCCCCCCTTTAACCCCTTACAGCCCCTTTTTCGCAATAAAAAGTCTATGTTCTTTCTCAGGGTCTAGACCATCTGTATACCAAATTTCATTCAAATCCGTTCAGTAGTTTTGGCGTGAAAGAGTAACAGGCAGACAGACAGAGTTACTTTCGCATTTATAATATTAGTAAGGATTAACTACTTAGAAATTGCGTAATACAATAAGTGACGAAAACGAGGTGGACGGTACTCTTGTATCGAAGAACGAGTAGACATCTGTTTTTCGAAGAGGTCCAGTTTTACATGCTGACATAATGTGCAATAAAATTAAATATTAGAGCTTTCAAATGAAGTCCACTCCCTTCTTACCCTCCCTATTTGTTGTATGAAGTTTTATTATGACCTAACCATGTTTTAGGGAAATCCATTTTATTAAACAGACAGACTAAATAATCTTCCCATTTTTGTGCAGTCGTCCATAAATAATTTAGACTCCATTTTATAGATCTTATTATATAAAACTATGGTTCATTGGTTAAACGCGTTGCCATCAAAAGTTCTCTATAAAATATTTCCCGTTACATATTTGGATGTTGGAGACCGTGGAACACGAATTTTTATACCTTTTTTTTCTGTTAAAAGGAAACTAGGTTAAATAAAACACTTTAACGGTTTAAAACGCGATATATTAGTTAAACTTATTTGAAAATGATTTTTAACTTCGGCCCGACGTTTCGGATGCTTTGCAGCAGCCGTGGTCACGGGGAGACCTCCCGACGAGTGTTTTATTTAAATGTGTACTACTCGCGTAAACTATAGACGGTATTTAGGAAACTAGTTGATTACACGTCTATGTTTCGTCCGTAACTATTTGACGTTTTCTTGTCATTTGCAGTCGAAAGCACTAACTACTTAACCAACATTGCCGTTACTATAAATAGTAACTAATACGATCGATAATCATCAAGTACCATTCCTTACAATTTGAATAGAAAACGAGTAATATATTATACTAGCTGTGGCAGCGACTTCGTCCGCGAGAATCTTTATTTTGGACGTCCAAATTAGTTTTTGCAAACCCCTTCATCTTTATATACATAAGCCCACGATGTCGGTCGCGTCCCTTCCCGTCGTTCTTGCAAGTTAATCTTAAAAGATAGACATATAGCGTCGCGGACTTTTTTTTAGAGCATTTAAAGGAGAATTATTCTTTCATACACATTTTTTGGGTATCTTGAACCGTTTTTGCAGGATACGTATCGGAAACCCACTGAGATCAATAATTTTCCTCGGTTTTTCCACATTTTCCGCTGTTTCTTCGCTCCTATTAGTCAAAGCGCGATGCCTTTATAGCCTTCCTCACTAAATGCTCTAACCAACACAAGAAGTTTTTTTTATTCGAATCACTAATTCCTGATATTAGCGCAAACTCTTCAGCTTTATATATTAGTATAGATAATAATAGTCTTTTGATCTATCATTTATTGCGTAGGTTCTTATTAGCGAACGGTTGAGGTAGCCGCAACGCGAATAATATATGAGCGTGTTTGAGTTCCACTCGTCGATGGTAATTTTCATTTGTATTGACGTTTCCAGTATGTGTTTTCTGGTGGGTTTTTTCATTATTCACTTGGGTGATCGTATGATATCCTTTGTTTGTGTACTGAAAAATCGACTTTTCACTTATCGTGGAGTAGATGTGTTTGTGCCCGTGTTACTTAATTATATTTACAGGCAATTTTACAGACATACGAGGCCGCTAGAGGCATAGTAGCTTAACCGCAATTTTATGACTTGATTATTTATATTTTTATAGTCTTAAAATGGTAATCTATTACAGAAATGACAGTACAAATTCATTTTCGATTAAGTTAATGGCGTATTTTTATTTTCCTCTTTATCATCGTGTTTTATTAGGCCACTCTGCCTCTAGCACTTTTATGTTCCGCAACCTATCAGCCTTGTCAACAAAGTAGGTCTATGCCTTCAAATATTAAAATATAAGGCAACACAGACAATAAGAAATACAAGTGACATTACTCCGATCCTGGTAAAACTTAAGTAAAATTTATATTAAATTATTTATATTTTAGTTTATTGTTGTTATGTTCGCAATAGGAGGCTAATAATTAATTTCCAGACTTCGAATCCCACCGGGACCACCTTATTTCTAAACAAAGTATAATTGGTCTTAAACATGTCTGCAGTCGTGTAGAAATCTGGTGGTAGATGAAAACGCCGTCGCGTTTAATCGTGTTTCAACCAGATTTCCGATTATCCAAAGTCAAAACAGGTCGATAGCGCATCTCGTCTAGATGTTATATTGCAGGGGGTTTTCCTAACATCAACTGACACCCATGCTTGTCTGTACTCTATCATTAAAAACAAAAATGTTCATAGCGAGTTAATTCTAAAATAATATAAAATAAATTTCGTCTTTTATGCTGCTAAAACGATGGAGTGACGTCAATACTCCCCCTACTGTGTGTATTTCATTGTCTCCTTGATTCTAGTGACTAACACATAGTAATATACATTTAAGGTTAAAAATTGTTAAATATTGTCTATAGTTTACGCGAGTAGTACACATTTAAAATAAACACTTTAACGGTTTAAAACGCGATATATTAGAGCGATTATAGTCTCCCCGTGACCACGGCTGCTGCAAAGCATCCGAAACGTCGGGCCGAAGTTAAAAATCATTTTCAAATAAGTTTAACTAATATATCGCGTTTTAAACCGTTAAAGTGTTTTATTTAAATAAAAAATTGTTACTAACCCAACTAACACTCATTGGATTTAATTAATTTTCAACAAACGGATGGATTTATAGTGTGACAATTAAATTGTTATTAAAATTGAAAAAAAAATATAATGGAAGCAAAAGTACATCTTAGTATGATTACAGTACACATGTCAGGACTAGGGACGAGTTGCTCTAGAAGTGGACTTAAAACTAATAAAAAAATGTTATTAAAAACTAAAGAAAGCTTAATTATACCTTAGACTAATAATTACAAATAATAACCTAATAGCATTCATTGCAGTATTTATAAGAAACAATCTAAGACAAATCTATACATATAAATACAAACATGTACGTGTCTGTTTGTAAAGTATTAACTAAAACTAAAGTATATTACTTACATAAAAAAATCCTATCTATAAACGAGTACTACACATTTTTCTTTAAAAATTATTTAAACAGTTTACCACAGATGCTGCACCTAAAACGTCAAGCAAAAAAATGTCAACAAGTTAACTAATATGAATTAAAAATCGGCATTAAAACAATTTGCGACATGAGCAGGTCTTGATCCGGCATCCACAGCGTTCCGTGCTGTTACTACAATCTTCGCGTTTTAAACTTTCAAAAGTCTTAGTTAAATCTATAAACGAGTTCAATCTGTAAAGAGATTTGGTTGGGCAGTTTATCAAACTGTATCTACCTTTCCGATCGCATCTTCTATGTTTTGCGAGAATTTCAACGGATTGCACTTAGATATTTATTTATTTTAGTTCCAGAGGTTTATATTATTACATACACAAAAAAAAAACTTACGTACTAACTTATAAATAACTTCGGGCTTATCGCTGAGCAGCGATTTCTTCCAGGTAATCTTAAAGTACAGTAGAAAAGAAATAAAAAAAAATTAAAGTAGTTAGGTGTAAGGAATAAACAATAAGCAAAGGTACACCGTCTACACAACAAGTAAGTAAGAGAGAAACGAATTATTCAGTTTTAGACGTTTAGATTATAATATACTATACTATCGTATAATATTATAAATGCGAAAGTATGTCTGTCTCTCTGTCTGTCCCGCTTTAACTCCGAAACTACTGAACCGATTTAAATGAAATTCGGTACACAGATATTTTAGAAAGGACATAGGCTACTTTTCAATGCCAAAAAAGGGTTGATAGGGGTAGTAAAAGGGGATGAAAGATATTATGGAAATTCGTGGTTTTTGTAGCTAGAACAATGAAACTTTCTTCTTTGGCTTTTTGGGAATAGGAGTTGGAGTGGGAGTAAGTAGGAATGAGAGTGGGAGTTAGAGTAGGAGTGATATGAGGTGAGAGTGTTGCGGCAAAGTAGCACTTACAACATAGATAGGTTGCATTAAATGCGCCCTTAAATAAATTAATAAACAGCCGAAATAATTAAAAATTCTATCCCAAGTCACTATTCCACGCGGACGACGTCACGGGCACAGCTAGTGTATGTATAAAAAAATAAGGTCATTTTATAATAATGCTAAAAACACAGCACAGATTGAAATGCCTAAATGTTATGACCTTTTCAGTAAGCACATTTGACCGTTCCGTTTTGTTTAGGTCGGTTATCAGTATTATCGCTTATCTAAAATAATCTAATGTAAGCTATCTATTATTAGACGTATAGGCTATCTGATGCGACACGTGTTTATCGCACAAAGGATTTGTGATCTGCGATTATTGTGCAGTTCCTCTTGACACCTCTCGCTTCGTACCGCTTTTACGCGATGATTTCGCCTGACTCGGATGATGGGTAATTAGCTTATATATGTATAAGTGTCATACGGTGTTTGTTAGGTTTGACGAGTGTGTAAAGGTGTGTGGTGGGTTTTGTTTGTTTATTATTGTGTATTACAAATTTATATTTTGTAAGTATCTTTATTTTATGATAGGGTATAGATAAGCGTAGGTTTCACTTTTGGTGGTAGGTGAAATATTATTTTAAAGTTTGTATTTTCTGTTTCGTCAACCGTGCCCATCTCGTTTTCCGTAAACTTTTCCTTCTTTCTTCTTGGATTGCCTGGAAGAGATCGCTTGTTAGCGATGAGGCCGCCCATTGCAAATTTTTAATATGTAAGTGTCGTTTGTATTTTTTTTTCTTGTCACTAAACTACTTTGTGCAATAAACTGTTACTAAATAAAATAAATAAAAATACTGTAACGCAATTACTTCACAGTTTTTCAATGTGTGATGATTAGAAACATGTTAGATCAGGTGGGGCTCGCACCCACGTCCCTTTGATTATTAGCCATACACCGCCAGTGCATAACACGTCTGCACTCCTTGACACAATTTCATGTAAACGCTGTGGAAATTGTTAACATAATTCTTACACAAGTAATACTAAAAATTCGTTTTCGCTTAAGTTAATTGCGCATTTTTAATTTCCTCCTTATTTAAAATCAGGTTTCTTTGTTATTAGGAGGCAGAGTGGTGCCTATAGAAGCCTCATATAAGGGCCTGTACGTATTAATCCCTATTTCACACTGTCAGTGTTTTATTCCTTGAGACACTTTTCTACTGTTGTCTTAACCAAGGTTGTACACACCGTCGGCATTTTTCAAAATACGTATCAAAGTCGTGACGAGTTTTAAATTATATTAGCAATATATCGCTAAATACACTAATGTCTCAGTGAACACAAAATAAAAACAATAAGACAGTTAAAAATTCCATGTCAATGTTATGTTTCTTTAAGATACAAGTAACAACTTTTAAGTTCGGTGGTTTTATTTTGTGGGTACTAAAACTCCAAAAAATGTAGCCCTTTCATTTGATACCCATATTGAGGGGGTTAAGGAAAAATATGTAATCCGCCATTTCGTATCGGCGGCCATCTTGGATTTATAATCATATAAAATAAATGTGTGTACCAAATTTCAAATAAATCGGACAATGGGAAGGTGCTTATAGGGTCGAATAAAACCGTTTAATTTTTTTTTAATTGAATGCCAAATTTCCTTACATTAAGAATTCAATAACCGTATGATGAAGGTATTCAATGTTTTAGGGAGTTTAGTAATATATATATATATTTCAAAATTACCCACATATTCATTCAACTTACTTTTAAATGCAGCCTAAACAATTTTATAATAAGGGGCGAGACGCTGTTCGCGGCTTAAGGCGTTAATAGATGCCACGGCCTTATATCATAGCTAATAAATCTATACTAATATTACAAAGCTGAAGAGTTTGTTTGAACGCACTAATCTCAGGAACTACTGGTTCGACCTGAAACATTATTTTGTGTTTGTTAGAGCATTTATCGAGGAAGGAGTTAGGCTATATAATATTACGCCGCGACTAATAGGAGGTCTAATAAGAAATGTGAAAATAATATTTGTGGGTTACCGTTGAGTGCGCTGCGAAAACGGTTCAAGATACCCAAAAAATAATGTATTAAAAAATGATTATTCTTTAAACGACATAAAAAAATGTTCGTGACAGTATATGTCTATCTTTTAAGATTAACACGCGGTCGACGTCGTGGGTAACAGATACATTTTATAAAGATGAGTAGAACGTTTGCAAAAACAAAATTTGATACCCAAAATAACTATTCTACGCATCGCGGCAAGAGCTAGTTTAATACTGTCTATAGTTTACGCTAGTAGTACACATTTAAATAAAACACTTCAACGGTTTAAAACGCGATATATTAGTTAAACTTATTTGGAAATGATTTTTAAAATCATAAATCATTTCCAAATAAGTTTAACTAATATATCGCGTTTTAAACCGTTAAAGTGTTTTATTTAAACAGCTAGTTTATTGAGAGTTGAGAATTTATTATATATTAAATGTAATCCAATGTAATCTATCTCCGTATCATGGACGAAGCGAACCAATCTCAAAACCTACATCCTATTTGACAAAATGTACATCGGAATAAATCGAATTGCTTCGTACAAATGTATATTAGATTTATTGTATAGGGCGTAGGGCGGTGCATCGCGCAGATGCAATTCCCTAAGGGTAGGTTCTAGGCTTCAATTGAAGGGAGACACTCGCCCGTAACACTCGTCCACCTTCACTATGTCCAAGCACGGCAGCGCTCGTGAACATTTGATGTATGTACTTAGTACTATAATTATTTGCCATTTTCCTTTTATCCAATTCTTTTGTTCGTTTCTACGTATCGATGTTTTTTCATTGTCACTTTTTCCATCCTATATTATTATTTAATTATTCTCGTCATTTAGTTAAAATGCAAAATATATTAGTTAAACTTATTTACAAATTATTTTTAACCACGGCGCGACGTTTCTGATGCTTTGCTGACGCCGCTGTCGCGGGTAGACGTAGGTAAAATTATTTCCAAATAAGTTTAACGAATATATACCGCGTTTTAAACCGTCAAAGTGTTTGTTTGAAATGTGTACTACTCGCGAACTACATTCCTTTCAAGTTTTATTTAATATTTGTTAAATTTGTTTACAAATCCACCGTGACCTGCAAAGCATCGGAAACAACGGGCGGTAGATAAAATTAATTTGTAAACAAGTTTAACTAATATAATTCGCCTTTTTTAACAGTTAAAGTGTTCTATTTAAATGTATTTATTTAAAACAGTACATTTCTCACGGATTAAAAACTTATTTCTCAATTCGTTGATTACTATTATGTAATATCTTAGGCTCCACGCGTTTGAGGCTTCATAAAAATATGCGCACACGTCCTTTTTATCTTATATCCCTTGTTAGGGGGTTATACATTTTGAAATGAACCAGTGGAAGTCTAGACTATCTGACGATCTAAAAAATTTAGATAACTACTAGCTGTGCCCGCGACTTCGTTCGCGTGGAATAGTCACTTGAGGTAGAATTTTTAATTTTTTTGGCTGTTTATTAATTTATGTAATTGTGCATTTATCGCAGCCAATGTTTGTTTAACTTTTTTTTACTTTGCCGCAACACTTTCATCTGACATCACTCCTAATCTAACTCCCACTCCTGTTCCCAAAAAGCCAAAGAAAAAAGTTTCATTGGTCTAGCTTCAAAAACCACGAATTTCTATACAAGTTTTCATCCCCCCCCCCCCCTTTAATCCCTTACAACCACCTTTTCGCAATAAAACCTATAAGTAGCCTATATTCTTTCTCAGGGTCTAGACCATCTGTGTACCAAATTTCATTCAAATCTGTATAGTAGTTTTGGCGTGAAAGAGTAACAGACAGACAGAGTTACTTTCGCAATTATAATATTAGTAAGGATTATTGTTTACTACGTTTGATATACACTTAATGAGTGAAAAACCTACTGATAAAGAGTGATGTAATTTCGTTTATAGGACTCTAAAGAGCTTGTTTGTTGCAGGAAATCCGAAGCAATGACCGACATGCTGAACATGATAAGTAGCCTGCAATCCGAGAGAATGGATTCGCAGCGGGCGGAGCTGCGACCAGTCCAGAAGAAGGAGAGCAAGGGCACATCACTGCCAGGTCTACGTCCACAGCAGACACGGAGCACTAAACCTGAAGACGATTTCCTCGATATGATCGCTAGAGTACAGGTTGGTAATATTATAAAAATGATGAGAGTCAAGTTCAAAACAAATTGTGCTTGGCTTCGCTAAATGAATGCAGAGTTCTAGGAAATTGTAGAAACAACATAATATTATGATCAAGTAATAAACTCTATTACTTCGCTTTATTGGATACGTACAACATCTGCTGTTATTTAAAAAAATGAAATTTTAAAGTCAATGTGTTTACGTTAATTAAGTTTTAAGGTATAAAAGGGTCAAAAGGGGAACCAAATGGTTAGCCTAAAGATGCCGCCTAGCCAGTTCCTTAGCTTGAACTTGGCTTCTTATATCACTCGCTGCTATATGTGAAAGTATGTTTGAAGAGATAAAGAAGTAAAACAGTGGGTTAATCACTGCTGACTGTGACCCAAAGATGGTCAGCTTTTTATGAAGCCCAACTATATATCATATGTATATATATATATCATCTATGTAACTACAAATAAATTATATATTAACTTTAAAAAAATTATAAGACTGTCGAAGATGTTTTAATCTAAAGACAGAGATACTTGTGTATATTTTTTGCAATTAAAGCTTGGTTAGGTATTAGGCGCGGTTCTGGAATCGATTCTCGTGGAAAACAAATAAAAAAAGATTTTTTTTTAACGATTACCGACGGAAAACAGTAGTCCGACCGTCCATTCATTTCCTTGTAAATAAGCTCAAAAAAATGTGTTCCACTTACACCCCACGTAGTGGAAGTGCAATTTTATTTTTTGTGATTTTTCCAAAGCTTCGACTGTTTACACAGCGCAATGGAATCTCTGAAGTAGTGTTTTTATTTCTCTTTTGCCACGTTGAAAGCTGATTCTCGACTCCTATTAAATCGTAGCGAAATATTTTTCTAGCTTATAATAGCTTTTTAAGGTACGTTTTTGAAATTAACTTCAAATCAAAGCAGTGTTTCTTGAAATGTTATGTTCTATGAAATAGATTTGATGTCTTTTTGTATCTGACAGAACAGTTGTTATACAATTTTAGACGTTTGTTTTCGAAACCGCAGGATGCTTTCGAGGGGATTTAGACCACTAATCGAAGCAATGTATTGAATAATAAGGTTCATCATTTCAATTTCATTCAATCAGTTTATACATCTTCCAAAACATTTTGGTCTTTATTTGGAAAACTGGATATTCAATAGGTAGTAAATCCATTTTGTTCCATTCACAAACCACCGTCCACAGATGAAAAAGCCGTCAAGTTTAATCGCGTTTCGGCTTCAGCCTGATATTCGGAAATTCTCCGAATATCCAAAGCCAAAAGAGGCTGACAGCGCATCTTGTTGAGTTGTTATTACCTGCAGTATTTCTTAGTTACTACAAATAATAGTTATATCGTTTTTCTTATTTTTTTATTAAAGGCCATTTAGTTAGTGAAAACCATGCCTAACTTATACATATTTATAGAAAGTGTCGCATTTACGTTCTTGTAACGTTCCATAGGGCTTCACACGACAAAATTCCAGAAAGCTCTCGATAAGCGTGGGCGAATATCGGAAGTTAAACACAAATAGTTCCCTACATTTCTCCACCAAGACATTACACGTGCTTCCTTCGAAGTGTTCGCGTTGTAAAACTAGTAATGAAGAACTTAGAATTTAACTTGGCCAATTTCCTTTTTAAACAGCGTGGGAGTTTCGAATTTACTCGTAACGGGAATTAACTCACAGTTGTAACTTCATAAAGGACACGACGTGCTCCGACAAAAGTTTTATAATCTGGTTGATATTTATTATATACTTCAATTTCGTGAGTTAGTTTTTTTTTATGGCAGAGGAAAGACAAGCATGTGGAACTTACTTGCTGGTTGTTGGAATAGCCCCGCTTTATAAAATCCTAACAGAGGGCGCTGTCGACTTTGGCTTTGAATATTCAGATTTACAGACGAAGGCCAACATGTTTCAGAAAAATTATAAATTGATAAGAAATATGTTGGCCCCGACGGGGATCGAACACACGGCCCGTAGGTCATTATATATTGCTACAATTATACCAACGATCTCGTCAGTTTCACGAAATTTCTAAAGCAATATATTGTTTGCTTTAGCCAGCGTGAGTCCGCGCACCAAACTTATAATTAGTTTCCCGAATGGCAGTTTACCTGTTTGCCTAACTAAGCTGACAATTGTGTTAAAGTCTGTTTAGTAAATTTCATGTTTAAACTAAATAAGACAGTTAAATTAGTGTTTATTTTTCATCAGATTGCAACATAATTTATTTACACATACACCACACGGATAATTTAAGTAAAGCTAACAATTGTTTTTTCTTATCAGTTGTTCTAATGCTTTTTTAAACGGTTTTATTTGGCTCGACCCGGATGCGGATTTTAGCACCTTTCCGTTGTCAGATTGATCTGAAATTTGGTTCACACATTAAAATTAGATGACAATACAATATAATAAACCAATAACATTATAAATCCAAGATGGTCGCCGATACAAAATGGCGGATTACATATTTTTCCTCAACCCCCTCAATATGGGTATCAAATGAAAGGGCTACATTTTTTGGAGTTTTAGTACCCACAAAATAAAACTGTTAATCTTAAAAGATTTTTTAAGTTGATACTTGTTTAAATTAGACTTTTATACATGCACTAGCCGTGGCAAATGTCGGTTTAGTATATGAAGTACAACCAAACATATTTTGATTTCAATTCGAACAAGAGATTGATTACGGTTCGTGTGAGTTAATCTTAAAAGATAAATATATACTTCCGTGAACATTTAAAAGAGGAATCATTATTTAAAACAGATTTTTTGGTTTCACTCAAGCGTAAGAACGATGTATAAATTTCCGCTTCGCACCAGAAAACGGAACTGACCAAGTCTATCTTATTATATGTATTAATTTCAGGGTTCACGCCTCGAAGACCAGCGTTCGGAGCTACCACGTCCAAAGCCCAAGGAGTCTACGGTACCAGATGACGACTTTTTTGCACAAATCATGAAGGCGCAATCCGGTCGTCTTGATGATCAGCGCGCCACGGTACATACCTTTATTAAAACCTAATTAAATTAATATAACTAAATTAAATACTGTCTGTTGCTTACGCGAGTAGTACACATTTAAATAATACACTTTAGCGGTTTAAAACGCGATTAAACTAACTAAATTGTTTTAGTAGAGTTAGGTCAGGCTAGGTTTTTAATCTTAGGTTAACTAGATGATCCTGCAAACGTTTCGTTGTTGTTAGCAATATTATTATTATTGTGTTGATATAACTATAGTAAAAAACGGGAGCGCGCAAACGCGTTTAAAAAAAATCAATTATTTAATGTGTATTTGAGTGAATGATTTGCTTAAGGCTAAATTAAATAGGCACTACAAGCTAGATCACCGGCGAAGAGGCATCCGGCCGATAACATGTTCCCCGAACTGCATATCAGTCCTTAGGAAAGATATTGTGCTGCAGTGGCATTTCTAGCCACATGACTCTCTCACAAATATATGCTAATAGTGCATTAGTTTCGAACAAATTTGATCACCATAAAAACGAAGCTTGTAAGTTGAGATTCAGATCAAATTGTGTTTGTTTGACAAAAGATAGCGAGTCATAGAAAAGTACAATGAACTAACGTAGGTCCGAGTAATCAGAGACTGTTGAAATAAATCATTTGTGTAATAATTAATGTAATACAAGGCTGCTAGAGGCAAAGTGGCCTAATAACAAAAAACATGATTGACGATGAACAAAAATGCACAATTAACTTAAGCAAAAATTAATTTGTCCTATTATTATATACACTGTGCTCTTGTAGAACATTTTTAGCCTATGAAAATATAAATAAGTCAAATCATAAAATTTAAATAAAACACTTTAACGGTTTAAAACGCGATATATTAGTTAAACTTATTTGAAAATGATTTTTAACTTCGTCAGCCGTGGTCACGGGGAGACTTTAAGGGGAGGGGTTTTAAACCGTTAAAGTGTTTTATTTAAATGTGTACTACTCGCGTAAACTATAGACAGTATTCAAATCATAAAAGGTCAGTTAGACTACTCTGCCTCTAGCCGCCTCATGTATGAGATCAGTTATTTAGTCTTATTAAAAAAAAGGGATCAAAATCAAAACAGTTTTACATTTTAAAAATAAAGACTTCTTGAAACGGTATCACACATACTCCAACTAACACCACATGTTAGTAATGTGGCGGAAAAGTATTTTTATTATAGAAGTGGACAGATAAGCTCAGGATTCACTTGAAGGAAGGTAAATTACTCCAGCTTTGTAACATTAAAACATATGCCCTGTCGACTTATTTTGGCTTCGACTACAGACTAAAATCGAAACGCGATCAAACTTAACGCCTTTTTATCTGTGGGCGGTGGTTCGTGACGTAGAACTATATATTGATGGCCACAAGTTAATTTCACGTAATTGAAAACGTTTCCAGATACCTCTTCAAGATCGTCAGAACAAGGCCGCATCCGGTTCCAAGAAGTAGATGTGAAGAATTATGTAGTTGCATGAAAATCTTCTGTTAGTGATGTATCTGACATAACTTCGGCACAATTACATAGAGAAATGATGACATTGATTAATTGACTGACTGTCAATATGTCAGTTGGCAACCCTTTATAAAAATAATGACCAGTCGATGTCTTTGCTTCTTGGTGAAACTGGGCCTAAATACCATAATTAAAACATGTTATTTCTCAAATTGTAATCACTGTAACTACTTCAGCTACCACTACCGTCGTATTTAAACTATCGATTAATTTCATCGCAACTTTTAATCGATTTTTCTATTTATAGTTTAAATTGTTCTAGCAAGTATTTTGGGATGTTAAGACTGGCCTATTTGTGAGATCCTATTTTTTCGAATATTTCGGCTCAGACTGTTGCTATTTTACATTCCGTTCTGCCTTTATTTACCACATATTCGTATTAAAATATATTATACAAGATTTATCTGAATGAATTTATTGGGTCTTAACAGGGGTTTACTCTGTATTTTCATCGATAATGCATGTTCTTTATCGATATTACTATTATAGATCTCGAATTATCTAGAACTTTCACATGATGTCTACAAACTCGAAAGCTTAATTAGTAAGACTTTAAACGTTAGTTTTAAGGCTATCGTTGTTGTGTATTGGACATACTAGGCATGTGTTTATGTAACGACAAACAACTGTAAATGTAATATAGGTTGTGTGAAAGATATAAAAAAACGTAAAAAATAATTTAATATCTGTTTTGAAAACTCTGACTGTTAAACGTGTTGCCTAGCATTGCGTTAAACCCGAGAGGTCCTGCGTTCGAATCCCCGGTAAACAATAGATTGATTCGGGCAAGACACAGAAGTTTGATGAACTACTTGCCCGCAAATTAAACCGATTAGTGAAACGGACACAAAAAATGTGTTCGCCGCATGCCCTACGGCGGGAACAGGATTTTTTTTAAACTTGCATCTGTATTTTCCTTAAAATTTGTCACTACTACTGTAATAATACTTCGTTTTCGATTGTCCTCAAAAAACGTTAAATGTGGGCTTTTTTTGACATGTGCTATTGCTTTTTTTCATTTTACAAGAAAAACATCAATTAGTACGTAGTAGTAGTAGTAAGTTTAAAGAAAAGTTAAAGTACATTTTTACAGACTGCAATTAATTTATGTCAATTAGAGTCGTTACATAAATACAGGAACACTGCTAATGTTTCACGAATCATTTCAAAATAATGTACTCATTATTTATATTAATTAGCTGTAAGTCATTATTTAAGTGACGGTGCTGTCGTAACTATCAAGAGGTCGATATATTTTTTAATATTCATGAATTTTTTGCACGCTATAATAGTATATGTCAATTCTTATGAGTTTATATCTCAAATACTATAAGCTATATTTCCTAAAATTAGTTTCTATTTATTAAATATTTCATTTTCACTTTCAATGTTATAATTGTCTTTCTACAAATGTACAGTTTTGAAGACTTTATCAAATCAATTAGGTACTATGAAATGTTGCCAAATTTTATATATATTAAAAATGTTATCAATGGTTAGGATGTTGAGGCAGATGTGCCAAGGGCCACTAGGCTAGCTATTATCTACAATTAGATAGACTCATAAATTTATGTTTTCTTAAATAATAAGCACGTCCCACCTTCTTCAAACGGTTCTATAAATGGTTCTTATCTCTATCAATGGCCTAGTTTATGTTACATATACATCTTAATTATATGAATGTTTCTACGACTTACAATGTGCATGGAAATAATTTCTGAAAAACACAACTGGCTTTTTATTTATACCTAATAAAGTATTTTATCCATAATACCGTATTTTTAATTAAACGTAAGTTTTTTTACGAAATGCCATGTAACAATTATCTGTTTAAATTGGCAGTTAAAAAAAATAGTAACAGTTCATAATAAACATACGTCATTTATATATTTCCACAGACAGTTATTTTTAGAGCGTAAAAAAATTGACATTGACGTTTTGATAGTGAAGTCTGACAACGACAGTGACATTACTATCTATTGTGGTTTCGTCATTCATTTGGATATTAACATTTAATAAAATTGATTGAAACAGAAAACTGCGAAGTGCTTAACATTTGTTCGAGTAATTATTTCGCGCTGATTACCAACACGAAATCAAATAAAGGTGTTCTGTTTACCTGTGTGCAACAGTGGTCAGTGAATTGCATCGGTGGTTAACACCGAGGCCCTAGTTACTAGAAGTTCTTGAAGTTTCCATGCTTTTTCACGCGGAATGGGCGATATACTCGATCAAGCTAGCACGTCCAGCTGCGGCCAGTAAGTATTCGTTTCTTAGTGTTTACATCTCCGATCATCTACATGACTTACGTTAGATTCATTAGAGTAGAAAAACTTAAATCTGAATGCTTAATAAAAACGTAGTTAAATGTGTAAAACAATTCGATGTGTCATGAAAAGAATTTAAAAAAATTCCTACAACGAACTAATTATTAATTGCATTCATATAACCTAACTGCGATGCACTAATTATAGTTGTGTTGATTTATTGTCTATGACATTATTAAACATCTGAAGGCAACATAATCTTTTAGCCATTATATTAAATAAACTCTTTATGTTTAATTAAACTTAACTTTATTTAACTTGTATCATCTGTATCTATTACTTGTTAATTTATTATAGTTAAATTATTAACATTTTGTTCTTATGAATATATACATGCTTATAAAGGGGATCCTGCAACTATTTGTTTTATTCTTATGGGCAGTGGCATTATATGACAAATTATTTACTTCATAAATCAGTTCAACATCAAACCTAATTCAGTAATTAGTAAATATTTTTCTCTTAATTTAATTAAAATTATTTAAAATAATGATACATTTTTTTTACATTTAAAGTCTTTTACATTATACCCACATTATTCTTTTACATCATAGCTTTTTATTTTACAATGTCTTTTTCATCAAACTGTTTATATAAAGGAATTAGTTTTATATTGGAAAAGTTTGCGATTCTTCAATGATTCCTGCGTCCGAAACGTACAGCCGTACATTTATTAATATAATTTAACATATATATATATACAAATATTTAATAACAGTAATCTAAGTATCCTTACCCTTGAAACACTTAATGATTACTTTTAAAATATTGTAATACTTCCTAGGAAGCCACATAAAATAAATGGCGTTTGCCATTTGCTAAATATATTAGTTCTTTTTTCTTTATTATACAGAGTGTGTGTTAAATTAAATTGACATATTCTATTTGTTTTCATTCTTCTCGAGTTTCTTCGTCCTTGTAATTTCAAGGAGTACATTGACATTTCATCGCTTAATATTAACATCCTTATAAAGGATAGGGGTCGTATATGTACACACTTGTACAACAGTTTGTTGCCAAGCACACTTTTTATTTGTATTCCCTTCACCAAATAAGCTTGACAAGTATTGCTTTGTTATAGGTATTCCTACCTATTATACAAAGTTTGTTATATTTTATCAAAGCATTTTTATACTCACTATTATTTTTCAAATAGCATGAGCGTCGTAGCAGCTTAACGGTTAAAAGAATTGCTAGCTTTGCGTTAAGCGCTGGTTTGAATCCCAGGGAAACAATAAATTACTTTGATTGGTCATTAACTACCTACTTCGCTATAAGTAAAACGAACCAGCGTAACTCTGAAATGTGTTTCCCGATGTTTTATAGGGGAAACGGAATTTCACTTTTTTATGCAAATTGCATCTGCTGAAAACAATCCACTTCGAGTTTTTGGGGTTACATGTTAATCATTTCATTAAAAACAAATAATTACATATTAGTTTCGTCACAATGAAATTATTAAAATATTATTTAGAATTCTAAACATTAGGTATATTTCCGTACGTTGTCTCTCTACGTTGCTCTATTTATTTAGTAATAAGTCATCTAGTCGTAATTACTAACTGAAACGTTTCTTATTGCATTACTCTCTTTGATAATGAAAGTCAAAACACCTTTTTTTAAAGATATATTTAAGGGTTTTTTTTTTTTCATTCAGTAATAAGTAATTTTTTTTTGTGTGTAATTTCAAGTTTACCTCGACTTTGAACCAAGGATCTGAAACGCTAACGGAGTGTACAACTTGTTACCAACATAGCGAAGCTTGGTCGTACCCACCGCATGCGCGCGAAAAAAATAACCTTGCGTTGCGGAAAAAATTATAGGTATTATTAAATATTATTTTGTTGGAGATGATACCAATCACTAAGATTTATAGGGACCGGTTTACTTCACCAGTACCGGTGGGCCATTTAAATTAAAAAGTTAAAATAGTCTATCATTTACCTTTTCGTTTAGTTTAGTAATTAGTTCCTATACTTCACTTATGAGCGAAGTAATATAGCAGATACCTGTGATTTTCTAAATAAATTACGTTTAACTGTGTTTAAACAGTTAAACGTGTTTTATTTAGAAAATCCAAAATATATTAGTTAATTCATTTCAAATTTATGTCAACTACGGGCTGACGTTTCGGATGCTTTACAGCAGCTGTGGTCACAGGGTGTGAAAATGGAAGATGTCGTTAAGTCAAAGTAGCTACGCTAGGGTAATCTGATTCGTCGTAGTTGGCTGTAAATTGTAATTAAGTTAACTAATAAAAATCGCATTTGAAACCATTAAAACTGTTTTATTGAAATAAGTACTACTCGTGTAAACTACATACAATGATAGTTTCCTTCTTTTTATTTAATTTTCTATCTTTATCTATGGTTATATACACGTAACAACAACATTATTGTTGGTTACACCTTATAAATATCTATATCTGCTATGTTTTAGTCGTATGATACGCATAACTTTGCTTCGATTTACCTAAACCAACTCGTGATAATTTTTAATAACTTTTAGGGGATTTGGGCAGGCATGCGAGTTGAATTCGCTTTGAGAGGATTATCTGACTGCCGGCGCGGTTAGTTATCGGACGATTAAATTCGTTACCGGCCGCTGGC